TGAGTAGAATTTTGTACCGCAGAGGTGGTCTTTCCAGTGAAAGGACGCAGGATTTCAGACAAAAAACGAGCTAGTTTGTAGGTGGGGGAGCTGATAGTAGAGACTATGGGACGAAGAGGTGTATCAACTTTATGTATTTTTGGTAAGCCGTATAATCTTGGTGGCCTGGCAGCAGAAGGTTTCAACGAAAACTGTTTAGATTGATCAATTAATGCGGTTGAATCAGAAATTATTTTGTTGGTTTGTGTGACGAGGCTGTTGGTGGGATCTCTTTTTATTTTTGTATAACTACCATCGTCGAGTAATTCTTTAATTTTGTTGTTGTATTCTATTTTATCCATGATAACAGTAGCATTGCCTTTGTCAGCTGAGAGAACTACAATATCATTCCTCTTTTTTAATTTATATAATTCAAAACGCTCATCTTTGCTGAGGTTGCTAGCTGGCATCTTAGCGTTTTTGAGGGTTGCAGCGATTTCAGATCTTGCTACGTCTGCAGCGATGTGACCCAGGCCCCTGAGAGCAACGTCTACTTGGGCAATTATATCATTAACTGGTATGTGTTTAGGTGTGACTGCAAAGTTTAGACCTTTAGCTAAAACGGATTTCAGACCATCGGAAATAGAACTGTTACTGCGATTAATTACGACTTTATTAACGTCTAACTTTTTGGTGTGTGGGTCCGGTCTTTTGTTGAAGAGGAGGTTAAATTTGGAAATCAGGTTTTCCTTACATTTGGTCGACATAGTAGCAGCTGAAGAGGCAGTCATATTGTCTACATGTTCCCAATCCGATGTGGACATTATTGCCGTCAATGATAAGTGTGATTTGTAGAGTGTCTTGTCTAACTGATCTAGTTCTGTGCGTATAAGTCTGATTAAAGAATTACTCGACGATGGTAGTTATACAAAAATAAAAAGAGATCCCACCAACAGCCTCGTCACACAAACCAACAAAATAATTTCTGATTCAACCGCATTAATTGATCAATCTAAACAGTTTTCGTTGAAACCTTCTGCTGCCAGGCCACCAAGATTATACGGCTTACCAAAAATACATAAAGTTGATACACCTCTTCGTCCCATAGTCTCTACTATCAGCTCCCCCACCTACAAACTAGCTCGTTTTTTGTCTGAAATCCTGCGTCCTTTCACTGGAAAGACCACCTCTGCGGTACAAAATTCTACTCACCTGGTATCAACAATCAAGGGTATTTCCCTGTCCCCAGACGACCTGCTTGTCAGTTTTGATGTAGTTTCCTTATTCACCAAGGTTCCTGTACCTGACACCATTGCAATCATTGAAGACTTGGTTCATCAAGGACTAAACACTGAGGTACCCCCCCTGGTGAGACACTGTTTAACCAATACATACTTCACTTGGAATGGAACTTTCTACAAACAAACTGAGGGCACCCCAATGGGCTCCCCCCTTTCTCCAGTTATAGCTAACATTTTCATGGAGAAATTTGAGACTGACGCCATCCAGACTGCCACTCTGCGCCCAACCTTATGGAAGAGGTACGTGGATGACACTTTTGTCATCTGGCCACATGGCCGGCCTGCTCTAGACCAATTCTTCGACCACATCAATTCCATACACCCAGCCATCAGATTTACCATGGAAGTCGAAATAGATGGCAAGATACCTTTTTTGGATGTCCTAATTAAAAAGAGACCTGATGGTTCAATGAGCCACTCTGTCTACAGGAAAGCTACCCATACGGATGCTTATCTGAAACCGGATTCCCACCACCATCCATCACAGAAGAATTCTCTCATCAAGACTCTGTATCATAGAGCCCAATGCATATCCGACCAGGAACACATAAGCAGTGAACTCAAGCACGTACACCAAGCTCTTAGGGCTAATGGTTACTCCGACTATACAATCCGCAAAGCTATCACTCAAACCATGAAGAAGAACCCTCTTGAGGAGCCTTTCAAAACCATCACTTTACCCTACATTGCTGGGATCACAAAAAAGATCTCCAAAATCTTGAATAAACACAAGATCCAGGTCCGTTTCAACACATTACATAAAATCCGTGATCTGGTTCCGTCTGTAAAAGATGTGATTCCGGACATACAATACCCTGGTGTCTACAAACTAAGTTGCCTCTGTGGTAGTAGTTACATTGGAGAAACCAAACGCCATATCTCGGACCGCATTCGTGAACATAAAGCAGACCTTAAACACGGTAGGCTTTTTAAACACGGTAGGCTTTATGTATGCTGTCTGGCTTTCAGACAGCATACATAAAAACAAATTTCGTCTCCCCCCTCCTCTTTTTAAAAAATAGATGGACTAGTCCTGGGCAAACTGCCATCGTTGCGCGTGACGCAAACGTTATTTTTATATAAATAAATAAATATGTCGTTTTCAAAATAAATTTATGCAAACCGCCACACCTGATGATGACCGTTTGAGTTATGGTCGAAACGTCGTGAGAATTTTTTATTGTTTTATATATATTTTGTTGTTTCTCTTCAACGTGACTTTACCGAAAAAACTAAGAATATGAATTACTGCAGTCACGAAAGCTTTAAATCAAAATTTAATGCCAACATTGTATTTTTATTATTATCCCCCCCCCCCCCCGCAAGTGGCGATAACATTGCTTTGCAGTGTGGTCACATAGATTGTTACGGAACGACATTTAGAATGCGCCTTGCGTCTCCAAAACCCAATTTAAAAAAAAACACATCAGGCACCAACGTTGACACGGTTATCAGCTTATCTCCTTGAGCTTATCATCTGACAAATGGCTCCACTAAGTGGCAATAATTACAAGTTTTGTTTTCCATACAGATGGGCCATGCATTACCTGCCACATTGGCCTCGCATCCTACTTGACATTCAGCAGCGTTGTTTGCCAGAATTTTAACCAGATGCTGATTAAAAAAAAACCCGATTACAGTAACTAAATGTGCAGAAAGCACACGTGTATTCACGAGAGTGTGTGTGTGTGTTCCTTTAAAGCAGTGGTTCTTCCGATTGGTGGTGCGAGATGCCCTTTCTGGGGGTGCGAGACATGGCCAGATAGTTTTTAGAAGGTTAATAAATCATCGAAAGACAGATTAAGCACGGGCAGTAAGTGCAACTACTTTGTTTCATCAAACCCGATGTATCTATTAATAAACATTGTTTTAATGATTGAGAACCAAATCGGGGCGCAAGGCTCCAGTAAAGGTTATGAACCACTGCTTTAAAGGGATATATTCACGCACTTAGGTGGTGAAATCTTTAGAGTGTTGATTTGCCTCCGTTAAAAACTGTCCAGTCATGTTACTCCTTTCCTCCGATCATACAAGTGAGTTGCAAGATTGATAGTTGTGTTTTGAGCTGCGTAATGTAATGGTGGGATGGGGGGGTAGCAACACGGTGCAGTTAGTGAACTTCACGATGAATCCATTGACTTGAGCTTAACGAGGGTAGGCGATCATCTGTATTTGTCTTTGTGTGGATGTGTACTCTGTGTTTGTGTTGGGGAATTGGTTGACATGCCTGGCGCACTGTGCTGCTTGCGAACGGTATCTTTTATCTTGCAATCTATCTTTGGAACGTATTAAATCATTTTAAATCGTTTCATCCTTTTATATAATGATTAATTGACCATACCTATCAACCCACACGGTTTACCCCGTATTCTTGTACAGGGAAATTGAGTTTTCAGGTCCATACGGCGTACAGCCGTTTCAATGCGGGCAAAATAAAATGTCTATTTGTTTGTGTTTCTCCCTCGTGATGGGGCTTTGTTGGATGAACGTTGAGATTTATAAGGGCACGGGGTGACCAATGAGGTCTGAATTGGTCTGTAATAAGGTAGGGCGCTGATAAGGGGTTGACAGGTTTGGTTGACTCATTTTCTCGACATATTTAAGTTTCGTTATTTAGTTTTATTACTTTGGTTATTACCTATATGAGGCGGCCTCGTCTGTATGTATCCATGATGAACTTATTTCGCACCGTACGTAGCCAACCGTGCTAATCAGAGGTGCAGGGGAAGGACAATAAACTAAATACAAAAAGCAGTTCTAAAGAACTGGGTCACTGTGCGAGTCTATGTATTTATGTTGAACTTCTTTAGCACCGTACGTAGCCAACCGTGCTAATCGTAGGTGCAATGGTAGCAGCCATTTAAACTTCTCTTGGTGGTGTCAGTTTTTCATGTAATCACCCCCTTAGCACTGGTGTGGTACTTCGTTCTTTTAAATTGGCAACCATTCCATTACTAAAGAAACCAAATCTGAACCCTGAGTCTCACAAATGTTCGACCAATATTCTCTATTTACCCTTTTTTCGTCGAAAATTTTTGAGCATGTGGTGGCTCGGCAGGTAAAATATCAGCTTTCAGAATTCGAGTTGTTTGAGACATTTCAGGCGGGCTTTAGAGCGATGCATAGTACGGAAACGGCACTTGTTAAGGTTGAAAATGATTTATTGATGATAACCATTTTGTTACTTCTGGATCTCTTAGTGCTGCTTTTGATAATCGTTGTATCTAAATTTGTATGAAGTTATCCTTAAGAATAATTGCTTTGTATAAAATGTTTTTTTTGTAATCGTGGCATTCTCGAATGTGTAACATGTCCTGTGTCTTCTGCACAACGTGTGGCCATTGCTGGAATTTCTAATGGCCTCTTCCTTTTTACTCAACGGGCGATTGAAGACGGTTAAAAAAAGAGACATCCATATCTAAGAGGCGAGAGTTAAACTATTCACAGAGTATTGAGATTAGTGGGAGTAATTTGGAGGTTTCTTTTCCTTGAAAATTATCCGTATAAATAGATTGCTGTGTTTGCTGAAATTTCAAGTGCTGCAGGTGTCAGTTTTTTGTGCCAGTTAAAAGGGTAAAACCTATTCCTATATCTTGTTTCTGGCAAAGGAGGTCTCATAATGTTGCACGTGTTGTTAGCCTTGATCAGGCAGGGCTGGTGCAGTGTCTGAATAAAGTGTTGCCATCGCCTCCTCCTCCTCCTCCACCACCACCACCGTAGAACGTGCTGGAGCTCACCGTGTACGATGCTGACATGATGAAGGATGACATCATCTCAAAATTGCTGGTGGACGTCGAAAGTTTGGAAGTTGGAGAGAAAATCCACAAAAACTACATTCTTGACGAGAAGGTGAGCATTGTGAAAAGGTGCATCACAGCAGTTGCTTGCCCAAGTCCACTCCTGGCAGAAGCGGTAGCAGTGTTCATGAAGGACCTCTGGAGCCCCTTTAGAGTGTATTTGGTCTACTCTTCCCTGTGTGACTATTAAAGGGTTTTTTTTTTAAATTGGTGTATATCACCTGCTATGACACAGATCAGAAGCATGGACATTGACAAAGAGAATGGATTAAAAGCTGAAAGGTGCACCAAGCAGCATAGAGAGATGCATGCCATGAGTTAAACTGAGATGGAAAGAGGAACATGTGGATAGCAGAACAAACAAATTAGATACGTATGGTTGGATGACTGTCAAGACAAGTGTGCTTGGTCAGGACTCATTGCTAGAAGGGTTGATGGCCCAGGAGGATGACAGCTGCAGAATGGGAGCGATGTTATAAGTTGATACGTGGGAGCGATTATTGATTGTGGCATCATAAACCGAGTGGCAACATGGTGAGCCTTTCATCTAGCAGTAGATAGATAATGATGATGACAACACTGTGTGCATGGAACAATATTGGATCGCCATTGATTCCTAGCAGTCACCTTGTTTGGACATTACGAATGCAATTGCTACTCAATAATATTTTATACCTTATCCTGAAATACCTTTTACTTGAAATGGTATGCTCATATCACGACCTTGCTTGATGTTTTTTTTAAATATATCTAATTATAGCTATATTATATGGTATATATGTATACACAGCCTATTGTTAATCTATTGCTGCATGAAGGCCTTTCCATGCTATACTGGTCATGGGAGTTATTTGACTCCATTTCACCATGCTGGTCAATGTGCAGTTCTCTTAGAACGATTTTTAATAATTGTTTACTATATTGTATTGCTTTTATGGCACAAGGCCTCCGTCGAAAATGAGACGGAGGCCTCAATGGGTTCTTGCCTAGTTTTAAACAATGGGTATCTTTTTTTTTACGGTCAAAAGAATTCTTCCATCACTTTGGATGCACGCGTGTTCCAAATATTTTAAAGCCATTGGCTTACAAGGCACGCATCAGGCCTAGAGAGAAAACGCACAGCGGACCATATCAATTAATTATTGCAGATTGTTTTATTTTGTGGCTTGGCATTTTTAAATTGACCTATATATGGGGGAAAACAAAATGGTCTCTATTAAAAAAAAGTGAATGTTTTCCTTCCCGATGTCTGTTAAAGGCCAGCCATTTCATAGCCCCCGTATCTTTGGACTTCCTTGGTGATTTGTTTGGCGCCATCTAGAAGAAGCTGTGTATGTGGATTCTGGAGGTTAATGATCCCGTAATGCTCTTCCCAAAAAGTGGGCCATTACAGGCTGTTACCATGGCCAAATTAACCACCCACAGTAAAAGAAAGGTAATCTTCTCTGGGAGGGGGTGAAAGAGGATTGGAGCGAATATAATTGTGTTCTTAGAAGCACGCTGCGTGGATGTCAATTGAACACAGTGTGCGACTGCATATTTTTTCTTTTTGAAATGAAACATTTTGTATGTGCACAGTGTACATGTGTAACATCCTTGTATCGTATTCATCAACAGTTGTAGCAGAGCTGGAATTTTCTAAAAACAATTATTTATTTCGTGTTCACAATTTTCGATGTTTCGCTCGGCATGCTGGGAGCTTCTTCAGCAATTGAATTCAGCATGTAGACTGAATCGTCGAATATCATGAACAACACAAAATACAACATGAAAATCCATTGAAAAGCTGTTCAACACAATTTAAAAAAAACCTACGCAGTGGTAAACTTAACACGTATGTTTTTGTAGTCAATATTACGATTCGGAATTGGTTTTTATGTTGGACCATGTCATGTTCTGACCAGATATGTCATTAGGAACCCTCCACTACCCGACACAGCCAAACAATTCTTACAACCAAATTTAGCAATCAGATCTTCTTTATTGCTAAATTTGGTTGGAAGTTAACAGTGCACTGAAAAAGTAATAACTGGCATGCTGAACGCTTGTACATGTAACAATTTGTTTGGCTGTGTTGAGTGTTGAGGCTTTCTGAAGACACTTATTTGGTCAAATTATTGTGGCCCCACCCCTCCAAAAAATCAGTTACGAATGATGCAGTAGTATTTAACTTTTTTTCACCAAATACATGGTGTCCTCTGTCCATAAATCTTCAGATAGTTGGACCTCATTGGAGGACCTCACGGGCTCTTGTCCAAAGAACATCTGCTGTTGACCACTTTGGATAATCTATCCAATGGAGCATGGAAGATAATTGAGCAATTTATTCAGATGGCTGTATTGTGCCTGTCCGTTGCAAAACGCAATGACTGTTTTCTCATTTGTAGGACAAAACGTCGCTTGAGGTGGAGCTTAAGTTGGAAGAGAGGTGAGGCTGGCATGCATCCCTTCAAAAATATCCTGAAGCAGAATATTAGTGCTAGATGCAGCCACATTTTACAAATGTGATTTGTAACTTGGATCCATACCTGTGTATCGATAGTTCAATGTGAATGTGCCATTTTTTTGAGGGACTACTGCTGTGAGAAGTTTGTAATTTTTGCTCACTTCCTGCATCACCAAGTCAGGTCATAACATTTCTGCGCATTTTTGCAGTTTTATCTCTGTAACCATTTTTTATGTGTTTTTTTTTTTGGGGGGGGGGGGGGAAATATGAGGCGTAGGAGACCATCACTTCAAAAACCCATTGAAAAGTGACGACAATTCATGCAGAAACGTTAAAACTTTTTATCATGGGTATCGTACTTTGGGAATTTATATGCATGCAGAAATCTGAGGACATAAATGTTACTAATTTTTGCCATTTTTTTCTTTCACCATTTCACTCTAAACAGATAGTAAAAATCTAATTCAAAGTGATTTCCTGCTCAATTGAGCATTCAGGCGGTGCTTCTTTCCTCATTTACAGATCTGAGCCAGTGGTGGAAATACCACATTCCCATGGTGGGGGAGAGTCTATCCATAGCATAAACACTTTTGACTTCCCCACAAAGTGATAACAATTTTATCAACCTCGGAGGGATGGGTGGGTACAGTCAACACCAAAACCAGGATTTGAACTTGCAGCAACATCCCGATTGCAAGCCGCTCACTTTACCACTCAGCCAGCTGGCCTAAACACATTTCTGAAATGGAACACACTTATTTTTTAAAGCGTCAAGGGTTTAGCTTAATTATGAAGGACCTAAATGGTGATTTGAAAGCCCCTACTTTAGTTGAGGGTTGTAATTTGGAGGTCATGGCTCAAATAGTTTGAAATCATATATCCCATCGAACAATTTACAGGGACCTGAAATTTGAATCGTGTTCAAATCTCTCAAGAGTATCTCTGTTTTTTTTTTTTTTAAAGAAAATTCGAGGTAGCTTAGTCTGGGACGTTTGGAACATTGCCCCTTTTTGCCGTATTGGTTTGTCCAGAATGGGGAGTTATCAGAGCAGGATCGGGTATGACTCGCCACTGATGTTAGCGATGACTCGGACTAAAACTCTGGTCATCTGGGTTCGTAGCGCAGTGCGCTTGCCACTACGCCACATGTCCCCTCGCGCTCTCAGTATCCCACTGTAAAATCATTGTCACTGTCTCTTTGCTATGTACCCTCCTCCCTGGTTGTAATGCTGCCACTCTCCTTATATGCCTTGTGATTACCTAAACTATACCCAATTTCAAATTGACTTTACTGTTCTGTAGCTGATTGTCTACTCTCATTTAATCAACCACTAACAGGATGTAGAACCCAACAATGGTTGGGTGATAGATTTTGTGGCGGAGGGAAGATGCACTGAAGAGTCAAGCTGGGTTAAACCACAGTATATTCCATAAGTCCCGTAGGAATATCTTAGCCGAGATTATCAAGTATATTGCATTCTGTTAAATTGAAATTCTATTTTCTTTGCAAAGTGATTTTGATCAGTGTGGACTGGGCAGGCTAACGCACGTGCTGCGATCTGTCGAATATTACGTGCTTACAGTATTAATTTTTTTTTTATCATAGAGGGTATAAAGGTTTTATTTTTAATATGGAGTCTAAATCACTTAGCGATGCTCACAGTAGGACTAACATTTTTTCACATTTGATAAAATCAGTGCATTATAGTTTCCTTAAGTGTGCACGTGTGTACGGACATTAATAATAAAATGTGGCGTATGACTCAGCGGTCAATGGTTGTTGTCCAAATGCGATAAGCATTTCCTACACTTTCTTTGAGGCAGTTATCAATTTGCAAACAAAGCAATTAGCATTCATAATAGATTCTTGGTTTAGGCCACAATTTTTGACCATTTTTGTGTCGTTAAGACCCGACTCGGCCACACAAATTAAATTGTCATGTCGTGTGCAAGTGTTTTGTTTCAGCCCACCGGTAAGTTAAATAACAATTCTCACAACCAAATGTAGCGAATATATGCACGATGTTTCATTTGTAACTCCTTTAAACATAAGGAAAATATCCAGGATGTCTCATTAAGTATTCAATAATTAATTATGATTCCAGTTTGATATGTAGTTTCAAGGCCACTGCTGACAGAATTGCTAATTTTTGGTTGTGAGAATTGCTCTTCAACTTACCATTGAGCAGAAACAAAAATGACTGGGGCTATATAAATGCTCGTTACACCACGTGACAATTAAATGTGTGTGCTTGTGTTGGACAGTGGAGGGTCTTAATGACACAAATTTGGTCAGACTATTACGGGGGCCTAACCCAAAAATCAAAGTACGAATCGTGACATTGGCTGCAAAAGCCTGCGTGTTAAGCTATTGCAATTGGCATTTGGGAAATTACTTTGTACAACCTTGAACGTAGGAATCTTGTTTTGAGTTGTTGAAGGTCAATGGCTAAAGCACTGTAGTCTGCCCTCCTTCTGCGGAGAAGGAGGAAGAGTCCACCTACGTGAACTCTCTGCTGAAGCCCTCCTCGTGGCTAGCAGACCTCGACATTGTTATAAAGCTCCTGGACATATTGCCACATGCAAGCAAAGAAGACAACATCAATTGCTGGATTGTGCTGCTCCACTATCGCCTTACAGATGACGTTCTCTGAAAATATACTTGAACTTGACGCTGTTTTAGTTTGAAACCTCCTGTGCATGGGAGTGAAATGTATTAGTGTTGCCGTGAAACTAGTTGCACAATAGCTAATTTCAGCGATTGCAGCCGAATAGAGAATCTTCACATCGACGTCCGTTTGCCGCCTGCCCACGAACTCGGTGAATGCATGGGCCAGTGTTTTAATAGGGCACACACGGCCATCGCAGTAGACCACTTGCTTTGATATCAACAGCCTTTTGTGCCACTTACAACCATTATTGCCTCTAACATGCATGCAGAAGCCCATTTATCAACCCACTGCAGAGTGAGGGGTCTCGAAACGCCACACAGGCAGGGCAGGGAGGGTTATTTGACTGCTTCACTGTTAGTCAGTGCACCCCAGCGTAGAAATTCCTCAATATAAACTATGAATATTGATTTTGTATTTTAAATGCAATATTTAACTTCATACTTTAGTATATATTTGCATTGATGAAATATATAACATGAATGTATAAATTGGATGTGTTTGTGTTTTATCCAAACAACTAATGCCACCATGAATATGCCTAATTTCTGTTTCTTTCCAGTGATTCTCCAGATTGCCCTGTGTATACCAATGGGATCCTTTCGGTAAGAAAACAGATTTGTGTCGTTTTATTTGTTCAACCTATATCAATTTTTTCAGGCATACGTCGCCAGCAAGAATACACGGACACATGTTCATTTGTGTACGTAGCATTAAACCATCATGCAAGTGTTACGTGTTTTTTTTTTATCACGATCCTATTGACGTTCCACATCCATTTACGCACCTCCTAAAATAAAGCGACACTATCATAAAGCAGCTGTCTCACTCCCAACTGTGCTGTTTCAGGTTAGGCCTCGTGTTTTATCAAGCTTTCCCCCTGCACTAGTGGCTGTTTCAGGTTGGCCCTCGTGTTTTCTCAACCTTTCCCCCTGCACTAGTGACTGTTTCAGCTTGGCCCTCGTGTTTTCTCAACCTTTCCCCCTGCACTAGTGACTGTTTCAGCTTGGCCCTCGTGTTTTCTCAACCTTTCCCCCTGCACTAGTGACTGTTTCAGCTTGGCCCTCGTGTTTTCTCAACCTTTCCCCCTGCACTAGTGACTGTTTCAGCTTGGCCCTCGTGTTTTCTCAAGCTTTCCCCCTGCACTAGTGACTGTTTCAGGTTGGCCCTTGTGTTTTATCAACCTTTCCCCCTGCACTAGTGACTGTTTCAGGTTGGCCGTCGTGTTTTCTCAACCTTTCCCCCTGCACTAGTGACTGTTTCAGGTTGGCCCTCGTGTTTTATCAAGCTTTCCCCCTGCACTAGTGACTGCTTCAGGTTGGCCCTCGTGTTTTCTCAACCTTTCCCCCTGCACTAGTGACTGTTTCAGGTTAGGCCTCGTGTTTTATCAACCTTTCCCCCGCACTAGTGACTGCTTCAGGTTGGCCCTCGTGTTTTCCCAACCTTTCCCCCTGCACTAGTGACTGCCTCAGCTTGGCCCTCGTGTTTTCTCAAGCTTTCCCCCTGCACTAGTGACTGCTTCAGCTTGGCCCTCGTGTTTTCTCAAGCTTTCCCCCTGCACTAGTGACTGCTTCAGGTTGGCCCTCGTGTTTTCTCAAGCTTTCCCCCTGCACTAGTGACTGTTTCAGGTTAGGCCTCGTGTTTTCTCAACCTTTCCCCCTGCACTAGTGACTGCTTCAGGTTGGCCCTCGTGTTTTCTCAAGCTTTCCCCCTGCACTAGTGACTGCTTCAGGTTGGCCCTCGTGTTTTCTCAACCTTTCCCCCTGCACTAGTGACTGTTTCAGCTTGGCCCTCGTGTTTTCTCAACCTTTCCCCCTGCACTAGTGACTGCTTCAGGTTGGCCCTCGTGTTTTCTCAAGCTTTCCCCCTGCACTAGTGACTGTTTCAGCTTGGCCCTCGTGTTTTCTCAACCTTTCCCCCTGCACTAGTGACTGCTTCAGGTTGGCCCTCGTGTTTTCTCAAGCTTTCCCCCTGCACTAGTGACTGTTTCAGCTTGGCCCTCGTGTTTTCTCAACCTTTCCCCCTGCACTAGTGACTGTTTCAGGTTAGGCCTCGTGTTTTATCAAGCTTTCCCCCTGCACTAGTGACTGCTTCAGGTTGGCCCTCGTGTTTTCTCAACCTTTCCCCCTGCACTAGTGACTGTTTCAGCTTGGCCCTCGTGTTTTCTCAACCTTTCCCCCTGCACTAGTGACTGTTTCAGCTTGGCCCTCGTGTTTTCTCAAGCTTTCCCCCTGCACTAGTGACTGTTTCAGGTTGGCCCTCGTGTTTTCTCAACCTTTCTCCCTGCACTAGTGACTGCTTCAGGTTGGCCCTCGTGTTTTCTCAACCTTTCCCCCTGCACTAGTGACTGTTTCAGGTTGGCCCTCGTGTTTTCTCAACCTTTCCCCCTGCACTAGTGACTGCTTCAGCTTGGCCCTCGTGTTTTCTCAACCTTTCCCCCTGCACTAGTGACTGCTTCAGCTTGGCCCTCGTGTTTTCTCAACCTTTCCCCCTGCACTAGTGACTGTTTCAGCTTGGCCCTCGTGTTTTCTCAAGCTTTCCCCCTGCACTAGTGACTGTTTCAGGTTGGCCCTCGTGTTTTCTCAACCTTTCCCCCTGCACTAGTGACTGCTTCAGGTTGGCCCTCGTGTTTTCTCAACCTTTCCCCCTGCACTAGTGACTGTTTCAGCTTGGCCCTCGTGTTTTCTCAACCTTTCCCCCTGCACTAGTGACTGCTTCAGCTTGGCCCTCGTGTTTTCTCAACCTTTCCCCCTGCACTAGTGACTGCTTCAGGTTGGCCCTCGTGTTTTCTCAACCTTTCCCCCTGCACTAGTGACTGCTTCAGCTTGGCCCTCGTGTTTTCTCAACCTTTCCCCCTGCACTAGTGACTGCTTCAGGTTGGCCCTCGTGTTTTCTCAACCTTTCCCCCTGCACTAGTGACTGTTTCAGCTTGGCCCTCGTGTTTTCTCAAGCTTTCCCCCTGCACTAGTGACTGCAGGCATTTTCAGTTTTCGGGACCCCCGCCCGTTCCCTTGTGACTCGTACAGGTTTCACCATGGCTTGGCGTGCAGGCGTATTTCATCGCGAATAATTCAAGAAATAAACAAAACGTGAAAAAATACATCTGACGCAAATGGACGAAATTTTCTCAATGCCGACCAATTGAAGTTTCGAAGCCCCCCCCCCCCCCCCCCCCCCGACGGACCGTGTTATGAATCGCCGCGATACGCAATTTTGAAGCCCCCCTTGGCGGGCGCTCTGGGACCTGACGACGTCCCCCACCATGCAGTTCCACCTGCACGGTGTGAAACGAGCACTTGCCCATTTGTGTCTCTGTCCGTGTTGTTTACAATCACACTGCCAGCTCCGCTTGTGGTGGTGGCGGCTCGTTCAACGCGGCTCGAAACGGGGGGGGGGTGGGGGGGGGGTGCGCATTCCCCGCACCCCCCCCCCCCCCCTTTATTTGTAGCAAGCACACGGCACGCGAGAAATGAAAATAGATTGTGTTCTCTCCCCCCCCCCCCCCACCCCTTCATCAGATTCGGCCCTGCTTGGAGCTCATTGTCGCTCTGCAACACGTGGAGGAGAAAGGCAAGCAGGGTAGGCGATTGTTGTCGTGTGCTGGGGGTGGGGCGTGCAGGTGGGGAGTGGTGGCGTAGTGGTTGGTGCACTGCACTTCAAACGCAGCGACCTTGAGAGATGGATTCCGGGCCATGGGTTCCGTCGGTGGCAACTGATGTGTGAACCACTGCTGGCGTGGGTGTGATGTGTACATATCAGCACTGGAGTAGGTTCTGGCCACACCACCCCCTCGTGTGCTGTGCCATCCTTCATATGTATTCGCTCAACAGCATTTGCCCCAGCCGTCTGTTAAAGGTTATATGGTGGGTTTGTTTTGGTGTAGCGTAAAGTGTATGTATTCGTTTTATTGCAAGATTATTATGGGCATGCACGAACGCGGCCCAACAATTTGAGTATCTCAACATGAGCTGAACACCCGAGGTTTCGCTCTGCCTTGAATGAACTCCTGGTGCCAATGGACTGACATAATTTGTCATTAGGGTAGTCGGCAGTGTTAATATTCAATATGGTGCATTCCCACATGTTGATGTGACCTGTTGTGGCCCCACAGAGTGTGAAGAAAAGATGCAGTATTTATCCGTGTCGGTTCCGCCGTCATACGAGCGCGAGAGGCTCACCCCGTGCTGGTCACCGCTGGTCACTGTTCTGGATGAGAACCTGACCTTCCACGTCGATTCTGGTTTCCAGTCGGCCAAGCTGAACGTGGGCCTCTACAAGGACCACAACATCGTGAGTTAACTCTGCGTAAACCCGAGAGTCGTGCTGAGCTTTGAGCGCAAGGCTCAAGTAACTCCTCAGTCACAGCTGCACCCCCTTCTCTGCAACTGCGTCAGCTCATGAGTGATCCTCGATTGCAGGATGTGAATGCTCTAGAGGAGGCTTATGTAAATTGCTCATTCACAGTTGCCGTCGGTTGCTATTGCACGACGACAGCAGCTAAAATGTCCACAGACATTTTAACAGATGCATTGACGCATTTCCATTTTTTTGCGTCAATTTGTGCAAGTTGAGTCACGGCCGACCAATGCGGAATAATAGCCTCTTCAATTGATATTACTGGCATCGTGTACTGTTTATTAAAGGTGGCCTTCTGGCGAGGTAAGAGTGCAGTCCTGAAATGTCTCTGTCAAGCCGCAGCTGGCGGAAGGGCCTCCACTCGAGGAAGCTCGACAGAGCCTCTTCTGAACAGGGCAATTGGCCTACACTGCCACACTGGCCAGATGAGAACTGCATGTAATTAGATGAGACCCTCGTGCGTAGCTTTTACCGACTTAAATATCTTCCCTAAATGCCCTTCATATTCTTTGGTTCTTTCGGTAAAGTCACGTAGATAGAAAAAATAATGATGAAAATAAAGTGAATGCAAATATCACGACGTTTTGATCGCAACACAAGTGGTCGTCATCAGGCAAAGGAGTCGGCCTCAAAAGGCAAACTGTTTTTATAAAGGTTTGGGGATGGGCGTAGCCCAAGTGTATCAATAGCACCAGGAGCATGGACAGTGCAGCAATGCCAATGCAGCAGCAATGCCAATGCAGCAGCAATGCCAATGCAGCTACAATGCCAATGCAGCAACAATGCCAATGCAGCAGCAATGCCAATGCAGCATCAATGCCAATGCAGCAGCAATGCCAATGCAGCAAAGGGCCGCCAGGAAATCCCTGCACCCCGCTCCACACACCACACTGCTGACGGTGGAGGTTGATTGACAAGAAAACACAACTCAAGTTAAATCACAAACACAAGATCCAGGTTCGATTTAACGCAGTACATAAAATTCGTGATCTGATCTCATCTGTGAAGGACAAGATTCCTGACATGCAATATCCCGGCGTCTACAAAGTAAGCTGTATCTGCGGCAGCAGTTACATTTGAGAAACTAAGCGACATGTCTCTGACCGTGTTCGTGAACACAAGGCAGATTTGAAACGCGGTAGGACCAATACTTCTGATGTGGCTGATCATTATTTTAATGCGGCTGGCTCACACGAAATTGGTTTCTCTAAGATGATGGTACTTTGCAAGCCTACTGGCTATCAACAAAGATTCGTTAATGAAGCCATCCATATACACAGACACAATTTCAACCGAGAGGAAGGTTATAGACTCGGAAATAATTGTAAAGATGTCATCAGCCACTTTGGGTCATGGTTTGACTTGTGTTTTCTTGTCAATCAACCTCCACCGTCAGCAGTGTAGTGTGTGGAGCAAGGTGCAGGGATTTCTTGGCGGCCCTTTGCTGCATTGGCATTGCTGCTGCATTGGCATTGATGCTACATTGGCATTGCTGCTGCATTGGCATTGCTGCTGCATTGGCATTGCTGCTGCATTGGCATTGCTGCTGCATTGGCATTGCTGCTGCATTGGCATTGCTGCTACATTGGCATTGATGCTACATTGGCATTGTTGCTGCATTGGCATTGCTGCTGCATTAGCATTGTTACTGCATTGGCATTGTTGCTGCATTGGCATTGCTGCTGCATTGGCATTGCTGCTGCATTGGCATTGCCGCTGCATTGGCATTGCGGCACTGTCCATGCTCCTGGTGCTGCTGATACACTTGGGCTACGCCCATCTCCAAACCTTTATAAACAGTTTGCCTTTTGAGGCCGACTCCTTTGCCTGATGACGACCACTTGTGTTGCGATCGAAACGTCGTGATATTTTTATTCACTTTATTTTTATTATTACTTTTTCTATCTAAGTGACTTTACCGAAAGAGCCAAAGAATATGAATTCCTGCTGTCACGAAAGTTTTAAGTAAAAAATTAAATTCCCTTTATTCAAAAAAGATTGAAGGGTGTATACATGTTCGTCCTGTTTGAGAATATATTTTTTTGGAACGACATATTTTTCGATAAACACATCCTATTGCTTTAAATAAATAAACATCACTTATTTAAATATATATAATTGGAAACCTCATGCGATTGGTCAAAGTCTTGACCACATATGCAGCATGTCCACAACCCGAATTCATCGGGAGCTGATGATACTGACCGTTTACACTAAAATATAATTGCGTGAATGTTTACACGTGTGTGCCTGGTGCCACGTCTCTTTAAGGGTGTTGTGCAGTGGGTTGTAGGTCATTTTCATGCTTCCTGGGGTTGTCCATAACGCTTACGATGTAACCACCGTTATCATTGTCTTTACTGTCTCTCAATTACATTTCTTCGTGCAAGGTCAGCTTGTCACGGCATGCGCTATCAGCTTGACTCTTAATGCCACAGCGTGTCACGACATATCCCCATTAATCTTATTTTCATTACTGCTGTTCACATATTTTACTTTGCATTTTATTGCATTCTCTCTGTATCGCTTTGCTGCTCTGCTGTTGTAAACAGCCGCTATATATTTACCAGCAGGATATGGCCGATGACAGCAGGCAAAAATCCAGCCAAATGCTTTGTTCCGTTAAAGGTGACCATATGGTTTATTTGTGATTTGAATTAAATCGATATATAAAGTACTCAAAGCATAGAATAATACATGTTCAATTATAGTTCCCATTCTACAAAGGGGCTTTGAGATGGGTTTTTTTCAATTATTAATATATTATTGTTATGCAAATGTTGGGGTTTAGCATGAAACAGAAATTTTAGTTTATACAATTCATAAGAAGTGCAGGAAACATCTGCTGCAACGAATGTGCTGATATTTTTCAAGACATATCCCTGTATGCTCATGCTCATCCTCCTTCCTGGCATGGGCTTGAATTATTAGCTGCCTTCTTATGCATTAGGGACTCAAAAGTCAAGCCTGCAAGACACGTCAGAGTCGTATGTTTATAGCAGATGTCTATAAAACGCGTTGCAGTAACACGAAATGGGATGTATGTATGTATGTTGAACTTCTTTCGCACCGGACGTAGCCAACCGTGCGAATCGAAGGTGCGGGATGGGTGAAGAGACCTAAGTGCATACTTGGCAGAAGGAGCTGGTGGTTCAATGCCTTTGAGTGGCAGTTTAAGGGTTATGATGCACAGCACTGTGCCAATTTTGGCAAGAATAGATGCGCGATTTGCATATATTTGATTATATTATAGGACTTGCTTTAGCATATCCCGTTCTTTACAATATTCATCCTAAAAGCTTATGGCAAAAAGTATCATTTTTATTATTCGTAAAAACAAATATTTGTACTTTACACACGTTAACAAAATATATTGACAAACTTATCTTTTTGATAGAAATCCGTCCAAAGTTTATTTAGAAACAAGCTTTAATAATTAAATTATCATGAAAAGTGAAGGGGTTTTAAATATTCAGATGATGCTAATGTTTGTGACACACGGGACATTATCACGATGCCTGTTACACATGGAAACTTCACTGAGGCTCAGGACTTTTTTTCAGGAGGGTCCTGCCAAGTTCTTGTGGTAGGAGGTGTTTTGTTGTTCTATGTAATGTTCAGGTATTTTTTTAGATTTTGACTTGAAACTTTCGTGACTTCAGGAATTAAGATTCTTTGGTTCTTTCAGTAAAGTCAGGTAGATAAAAAAATAATAATCAAAATAAAGTGAATACAAACCTTAAAATAATGTAGACTGTAGTCTGGTTATTTACCTCGGTGAGCATACTGGCAGTCTGTAATGTAGACTGTAGCCTGGTTCCTAACCTTGGTGAGTGTACTGGCAGTCTATAATGTAGACTGTAGCCTGGTTATTAAGCTGGGTGAGTGTACTGGCAGTCTATAATGTAGACTGTAGCCTGGTTCCTAACCTTGGTGAGTGTACTGGCAGTCTATAATGTAGACTGTAGCCTGGTTATTAAGCTGGGTGAGTGTACTGGCAGTCTATAATGTAGACTGTAGCCTGGTTCCTAACCTTGGTGAGTGTACTGGCAGTCTATAATGTAGACTGTAGCCTGGTTCCTAACCTTGGTGAGTGTACTGGCAGTCTATAATGTAGACTGTAGCCTGGTTCCTAACCTTGGTGAGTGTACTGGCAGTCTATAATGTAGACTGTAGCCTGGTTCCTAACCTTGGTGAGTGTACTCGAAGTCTGTAATGTAGACTGTAGCCTGGTTCATAACCTTGGTGAGTGTACTGGCAGTCTATAATGTAGACTGTAGCCTGGTTCTTAAGCTTGGTGAGCCTACTGGCAGTCTATAATGTAGACTGGTTCAGTCTACATGTCATCAACCACTTTGGGTCAATATTTGATTTGTTTTCTTGTCAAGGTAGCACAGCTAAAGTTACGACTTGATTTGTGTTTGTTTTCGTGTTTTCTTTGTATGCTTACCCCAGGGCACGTATGCCCCGCCCACTTCACTGGTGCCACGCCCATTTTTAAACCTGATTAACGGTCGCCATCGGTGGTGACCTCTCTCCTGAAGACGGTCGCTTGTGTTGTGATCGAAACGTCGTGGTTTTATTTTAGACTGCCAGTACGCTCACTCAGGTTATTAACCAGGCTACGGTCTGCATTACAGACTGCCAGTACCCTCACTCAGGTTATTAACCATTGCTACACTCTACATTATAGACTGCGAATATGCTTACCAAGCTTAAAGAACCAGGCTACAGTCTACATTATAGACTGTCAGTACACTCACTCAGGTTAAGAACCAGGCTACAGTCTGCATTATAGACTGTCAGTACACTCACTCAGGTTAATAACCAGGCTACAGTCTACATTATAGACTGCCAGTACACTCACTCAGGTTAATAACCAGGCTACAGTCTACACTATAGACTGCCAGTACACTCACTCAGGTTAAGAACCAGGCTACAGTCTGCATTATAGACTGTCAGTACACTCACTCAGGTTAATAACCAGGCTACAGTCTACATTATAGACTGCCAGTACACTCACTCAGGTTAATAACCAGGCTACAGTCTACACTATAGACTGCCAGTACACTCACTCAGCTTAATAACCATTGCTATAGTCTACATTATAGACTGCCAGTACGCTCACCAAGCTTAAAGAACCAGGCTACAGTCTACATTATAGACTGCCAGTACACGCACTGATTAAGAACCAGGCTAGAGTACACATTAGTGTTTTTTTGTTTTTTATTATTTTTTATTCACTTTATTTTTTGTTTTTTATCTACGTGACTTCACCGAAATAACCAAAGAATATTTTTTTTAGAATTGTGATTTTTGGCCAATTTCAGTTAAATTCTATATCTTTTTGCTATGGAAGTAAACCAGAGAAGCTGGAGGACTTACAAACTCCACACAGAACGGCACCCATACCAGGAATTTTACCCAGGCCCTTGCTGTGAGGTACAATTGTTACCACATCGCCACCCAGTCACCCATTTACAACTTGTGCAAGCAATGTTGTGGCACTGTAAGCCAAACAAATTAAAATATGTTTGTGGGTACCTCTCATCTGGACATTTCTTGAGCCCCTCCTAAGACTTAATCATATATCCAAGATGCAAGTCTTTGACCAGGTTAAATTGCCTCGTGTTGAGCTCTTGCTGTTGGGTCGTGTGGTTCAATGCATTTTTTGGAAGCAGACCCATTTTTTTTATTAATATTTATCTTTTTTTTGGGCAGATATTTTTTTTTTGCTGTGGGAATTTAAGCTCACGCACACAAATGCCAAGCAAGCCCTGGCTACACCGCTATTCCAACAGCTGCAGCTGGACTCTTGAGATAATGCTTAATGTGACTGGCGGCAAGCTCACAAGCTGCCTCTGAAACACACACGGGCTTTTACTTTGTGGAGAAATTAAATGGCAATCTATGATCGGTTTGTATGTACTGTAAACGAATAGTTTGTAACGTACATTTTCACTAGCTTCTGGCCTTTTTGTAACACACTGCCAATACGTATTTTCTCAACGTCACCAGAAGGCTAACACCACTTGACATCTGTGTCTTTGCCATACAGACAATTTAATGAAATCCAGACATTCGACATGTTCACACATGCGTTATCTATACTATTAAATACAATTTCTGGTATTCGTTACCTTTTTATTGGTTTGTGTGTTTGTACCACATCATTCGCAATGTTTAGTCCAATCTATTTACTGTGTTCAACCCTGCAATACTGCTGCTCGAAACACATCTGTTTCTGAGTGACTTTTTCCAAAGTCCAATGCTGCTCAACTTTGGATTTTCCTCCCATTGTCTCTTTACCCAAGCCCTTATTACCGAGCACAATTCAAGAAAACGTGTTTAACTCTAACCTAAAGAAACTTTGTGACAGTGCTATTTGTTACTGGCCACCTAAAGTTTTGGGCATTTACGCATGTGTTTGGCAACTGTGTAAAATAATAATACAACAATGCTGTAATATTAATCCATCATACAACATCCTTGGGAAAACTCTACTCCAACTTTCCCCACCCAAAACCTCTCCCCCTGGGTCTAGTGTGTGGAGATTGAAGCAGCTTGTTTCCTATTAAAAGTCATCTACTTGGTGGCAACACTGGCATACGCAGCAGCTTTGTTGTAGAGAAAGTATTGTGGGGGCTGTTGTCACTGACACAACAGTGGACACAATTCATTGGCCTTAGATGGGGGGTGGTTCTTAATGATACAATAGTGGCTTTGATTTCAGCAGGGATTTTAACACACATTTCCACGTTGCTAAATCTGTTTTTCAAGCTGCTTGGTCTACAGTGGGAGAAATTTTTTGTGGTTTATTTATATGATATACTGTACACTGAAACAAAAAGTGGAAAAAATGTGTCTGGTTTTGGAAAACATTCCGATGCGTTTACAATTTGTTATCAACATCCTGTTTTAATATACATTTCACTGTATGTGCAACTTGTGAATAATACAAAATCATTTATATTAGTAATTATTGTATATATTTTTGTATTATTACAATACACTGGTACTTGGTATGTTATTAACTTTAATTTTAACATTGTGATTAGTTGGACCTTTCATTTAAATTGTTAAAGAGCATGTTTGCCAAGCATTTATATAGAAAAAACATATATACATGTAAATATTATTCAGAGATGAGAGCATTCAAATAGTTTTAAATAGAGGATTGAGGGTCACTGCTTTTATAAGCGATATTAACAAATGTTAATTGGGCGTTTACTTACGAGTAATACAATTATTGAAATACATGAAACGGGTAAAATGTAACCCTATGATTGATTTTAAAATGGTCTAAATCAGACACCGCTTATGCACGATGGTGCATATTGAAAGCTCGCGTTCCTGGCATGTTTTTAAACAATTTCTGCTGATTTTTCTATGAAACGATACTGGCAGGCAGCTTGAAATTGAGCAATGCTTTTTACACTTGTACTTTCCGAAATGAACTTCCTGCTCCCACGCTCCCTCCTACGTTTCCTGCACCGACTTGAGCAGCTGATTAGGCTGCCATAAGGCCGCTATAGATTAATTGTTTGGCTGTTCACAGCTGCAAGGCAAGTGTCCGAAATGAGGGTGCGTAGTTTATCTCGGTGCGGATGTTTTGGTGTTGTGCTGACCGCTACGCCAGAGCGGTTAGCCGCGCTGCGCTACGAACCTGGCGACCCGAGTTCGATTCCCGCTCACGGCCAACATCGGTGACGATTATCTGAACCAGGTCGACTCAGCCTCAAATGAGTACCTGGTGCATTGTGTACAAACATGGCCACTAGGGAGACAAAGGCGGCCGGGTGTGGTGCTGGCCACCCACCCCCTCGTGCCGTTCCAGCCTTCATTGGTGCTCGCAAACGGCACTTGCCCCAAAAGTTTGTTAAGGCTATACGGGAAACTTTGTATTTATCTTCTTTGGTTCTTTCGGTAAAGTCACGTAGAATGAGAATAAAATAATAAATTGATAAAATAAAATAACACAATAATATTCTCACGACGTTTCGGCCACAACACAAGCGGCCTTCATCAACCAAAGAAGATGAATCATTGCAGTCACGAAAGCTTTAAATCGAAATGTAACTTTGTATTTGTAATGTAGTTTAGTTAATACCTTTTGCTTTTTTTATAACCTCTGTATGGTTTGTGTTTATCCAATTTGGTATTTCATTATCTAGTATTCTTTCAGCAGTGTTATTCACATTTGTATCTGCTGATAGATTGCGCAAACCCAAAGTGTGGCTGCAGTTAGGTGCCACTGGGTAACTGGGGTGCTGTGGGTTTCAGTAGGTGCCACTGGGTAACTGGGGTGCTGTGGGTTTCAGTAGGTGCCACTGGGTAACTGGGGTGCTGTGGGTTTCAGTAGGTGCCACTGGGTAACTGGGGTGCTGTGGGTTTCAGTAGGTGCCACTGGGTAACTGGGGTGCTGTGGGTTTCAGTAGGTGCCACTGGGTAACTGGGGTGCTGTGGGTTTCAGTAGGTGCCACTGGGTAACTGGGGTGCTGTGGGTTTCAGTAGGTGCCACTGGGTAACTGGGGTGCTGTGGGTTTCAGTAGGTGCCACTGGGTAACTGGGGTGCTGTGGGTTTCAGTAGGTGCCACTGGGTAACTGGGGTGCTGTGGGTTTCAGTAGGTGCCACTGGGTAACTGGGGTGCTGTGGGTTTCAGTAGGTGCCACTGGGTAACTGGGGTGCTGTGGGTTTCAGTAGGTGCCACTGGGTAACTGGGGTGCTGTGGGTTTCAGTAGGTGCCACTGGGTAACTGGGGTGCTGTGGGTTTCAGTAGGTGCCACTGGGTAACTGGGGTGCTGTGGGTTTCAGTAGGTGCCACTGGGTAACTGGGGTGCTGTGGGTTTCAGTACGTGCCACTGGGTAACTGGGGTGCTATGGGTTTCAGTAGGTGCCACTGGGTAACTGGGGTGCTGTGGGTTTCAGTAGGTGCCACTGGGTAACTGGGGTCCTGTGGGTTTCAATCAACGTGTTTCATTCGGACAGCTGAAAAACGTTTGCATTCCATAAAGCCGTAACCCTTGCACACACCCAAAGATAAATGTCTTGTAGGTGTAAACCGGGGATGCTGCTGTTGTATAACGGTTAGGACTCTCAGACTTGCAACCCAGTACGATTTCCCGGCGTGGCAGTGGAAACAACGTTGCCAGTTTCTTAACTCCCTCCCCCCCCCCCCCACTCTGCTGCCTCTATCCACCCAGCGATATAAATGGGGGCACCGCAGTCAATCAGCAGGTTGTGCGTGGTGGGATAAATTGCGGGTGTGCTCACCGAATTCCATACGTCTGACCGTCGTGGAAGAGTAGACAAAAATACCCTCTGGAGGAGCGTTCTAGAGCTCCCTCTTCCGCCTGCAGTGGGGAGTGAGCAAGACAATCGCAGGGTTTTATCCTTTGCCTCTCATCAGTAAACTGGGCAATAATTTGTAAATGTGCCACTGTTGTTTATTTTTTTGCCTGTAGAGTGAACAGTTCCCAGAGAAGAGTGTGCTTGGCACAAGATCGGTGCCCCTCACCTACAAGAATCTGATTGAAAACGTGGGAGTGCAGGTGCCACTTGGCAAAGACGAGGTGAGCTTGTTGCTCAATAAAAATCGGTGTCACTGGAACCAAGTGGAAACCAAACAATGTGTTTCCACAATGAATATAAATATCCCTGGATAATTATTACATCTCATTACTGGTTTAAGTGCTGTTTAGATGCCTCATCGTTTGCAATATTGAAGCAATGTTAATATTGCAGTGTTTTAAAAACAATACGACTTGAGTAGAAAATATTGCCGCAGTCAATTGTACTTTTGATTTTCTCTTTTATTTTCAGGAAACGGAAGTGGACCTTACCTTAAAATATAAATCCAGGTAATATGAATATGGTCAGTAACATTTATGGAAATTGGTTTTAATAGCTTAGAAGCAAAAGTCCGAATGCGTGACTTTCAACCGAGTCAAATCTCGTCAATCTACATTCATTTCTCGGTGCATGGAGCGGTAGTGTAGCGGTTAGTGCGCTGCGCTACAAACCCGACGACCCGAGTTTGATTCCCGCTCACGGCCAACAACAGTGACGAGTATTTAAACTGGTCCTGGGCCTCCCCCAGGTCGACTCGGCCTCAAATGAGTACCTGGTGGTGTGTGTAAACATCACCACTTGGGGAGACAAAGGTGGCCGGGCGTGGTGTTGGTCACCCACCCCCTCGTGTGCTGTTGCCGGCCTTCATTGGTGCTTGCGAACAACACTCGGCCCAACATTCTGTTAAGGCTATGGGGGGGGGGGGGGGGGGGCGCGGGGATCTTTGTCTTTGTCATTGGTCAAATTAAATATTGAAGGGTCTGTCTCTGCATTGGCTGACAGTGTCACGACCACAACACAAGCATCGATGCTGCTCTATTCAGCACCTTCCAATGGGCAAAGAGCCACTGTGAATTACTCCAGACGAGAATCCATTTGGATCCGTATATTTGGGCCATCACCGCAGCCGCCATGTGGTGCGTTTTCATAACGCGCGTGGTGTCAGCAGCGTATCGATCTTATCATTTTCAGAGGCGTACCTGCTCTTCGCCTTGGGTTTGACCTCTCAGATGGCGAGAAAGAATTTCTGCAAAAAAGGATGAAAGTGATGCCAGGAGCTTTCCAAAAGTTTCTTAATCTCAAGGTGACACCACAAGAAAAGGACGTAAGGATCATGAAGACTGAAAATAAATGACCTCGCGACACCATAATCTGATGCAAAACAGAATATAGCAAGAGTTTTTAAATATCCACATTATTTATTTTCAACGTTTGTGTTTAAGGCTACTCCTGAAGAACTTACATTCCTTCATAGTGTTTTAGTTTCACTTAAAAAAACCTTTTTAAATGATCCAATACCCCATATACTTATGCTGTCTGGCTATTTGAATTAAACATCTTTCACAATAGAATGATATCCATTTAAACATTGAGTTAAATGTTAACATGTACTTATAAAATGATTGTATGCTTCCCATAATGGTGTTTAGTTAGAGTGGTTTTTATACATTTATAGACTTTTAGATCGCAAATTAATAGGAAGATCGGTCAGTGCGTCACAATATTTTATGGTAAGGGACTGTCATCTGTGCTGTTAAATGACTCAATAAAATAAATCTGGAGCCATCAGTGCAATTCCCTCTTTGATTGCAACAACTACAGCTAACTTCATAATTCCAACTGGCAGCACAGCAACTGGTCAATACAAATCAAAGTATAAAACCTACTTGTTCAATAAAATGTCTACCTTGTTTGCTGAGAATTGCAGGCCACAGGGTTAAGTAATATGTACGTGCAAATAACGGAACTCGGCTCTGTGGTCGTCTGTGTGAAATGAGTTGTGTCCCTACAGCCCACATTCTGACGTGTGTTCGTGCCCTTGGCCATGCTAAGAGGCAGCCCCACTGACAAGTAATTTCCAGCTTCAAAATCGCTCAATAGTTTTCTGTTAATAAATATGAATGGCATGCAAGGGAAAAATTAAAACTCGATGGATTTCAATGACAGAACGAGATATACGACATACGAATGTGTGACTTTTAAGAGTCAAGAAATGATGTTGTGCTGCCGAGTAAAAAAAAAAAAACCACTTTGGCCTTTTAGGTGCCTGTGGTGGCAGTGTTGGGTTCTGGGGGTGGCCTGCGAGCCACGATCTCCCTGCTTGGCTGCCTCCTGGCCCTCGAGGAACAAGGTCTACTCGACTGCATCACCTACATGAACGGTGTCTCTGGATCCACCTGGCAAGTCACTACTTACTTCTTTCTGCCAGTGTCAATTTTTTTTATATACAGGGTGCTTAAAAAAAATGTTAACACTTGTATGTGCCTATCGTTTTTAATGGAAAAAGAATGGATAATTATGCACTGTGACATGATAACAAATGTATGTTAAATAGCTTCAAAACCATCATTGTCCACATGCATGGAATCTTCTTCGGGTGATCTCCAGCGCTCGGAGGCACATTTCTTGTGGTGCTGTTGTAAATTCTCAGAAGTGTTAAAATGTTTTTGAAGCACCCTGTATATATCAAGTGTACTGCCTAGAATATCACTGTTGTGCTGTATAGCTCCCCACGGTATTTTCGGGTTTTGCCACATGTCGGTAGCGTCTTCAGAATTCAGTTCCTGAAGAAACTCTTAATTTAGTTCCTGAAGCCCCCAAAATATGGAGTAAAACGTTGGACATCGTACCAAAAAACTCACACGGTACAACCAAAAAACACATCAGAGCGCTGAAAAAAGTTTCTTTGAGTGCCATGTCACAAATCGTAGCAGTTAAATTGTGTTTAATGTATGTGCTCCTGGAAGGGCAGCATTTGCTGAACGTATCAGCAGTGTGGCCCAACTGCTGTAATTCTTTTAATTTTGTTATTTTCCTGAATTTTTGGAAACTCTTGCTCACAGGTGTATATCCAATCTGTACCAGCAACCGCTCTGGGGCAAGGGAGAGACAAGTGGAATCGCGCAAGAGATTCAGGAATTGAAGGCATGCACCATAGCTCCTAAGTATGGTGCCTTCTCACCGGAGACCCTCTTGAAATTCCGGAATGCTATGACTGACAAGAAGGAAGACAACCAATTCGTTTCTCTCACGGACCTCTGGGGCCTCGTGCTGCAGTGGATCTTTGGCAAACAGGTGCGTAGTGTGCCTGGGAGAATTGCACTGACCTATTTGTGGTCGTGACTAAGGACGGAGCTCTGAAATCATCTCTTGTGGAGGTGCTTGGTCGATTTGGCTACATTGCAGGACCGTGACAGATGGAGGACTGCTTAGGGGGGAGATTTTTTTAAATCTCGCATTGGATTGATTATGGCCGATGATGATTCTGGGTGGCAGGGTGGTGCAGAGGTAACACTTGTACCTCACAGCAATTGCTTTGGTTCGATTCCCAACTCGGGCACCTTTCTGTATGGAGTTTTTTCTCCTCCCATTCTGCATGGGCTTTCTCTCGGTTTTCCAGTTTCCTCTCGTAGCTAATAAAAAAAATCATACAATCCAACTGGTGTTGGCTGAACACCGCGAAGCTCAAAATTACCTCCAAAGTATTCAATTTGGATTATACACAGCAACATCACCCCCTACTGCAGAAGCTTGGCAGGACCCTCCTGAAAGAGTGTTGAGATTTAGTGAGGCTTTCCTGGGCAAACAATCGTGGTGAATACAATAATTCTAATAACTTTGTATGTGTGCTGCAGAAGGAAGCAGAAAGGCTGAATGAGAAATGTTAACCAGAAGTGTTGGCTGTGCCCTTTAGGAAAAACTGGTCAGGCTGTCAGATCAGCAGAAAGTGGTTAGCACTGGACAGGTGCCATACCCAATCTACTCTGCAATCAATGTAAAGTCCACTGTCAGCACGGACGATTTTGCAGGTAAAAGTACAAGCGTGCATAATATGCATCTTTCTCAAGACATTACATTCTGTTTTGCTGGCTTATTTTACAAAAATGAATAAGCTGTAATTTACTTTTTTCATGCGTTTCCGAAGCGTGTCCATGTCGTCTCCTTCACAAATCAATTTTAATTCGCAATGTAACAATGAAATATATCATCGTAGGAGAAAAACGTAATTTGGTAATTGTGACAAAGGGCGAAATTGTTCATGTTCTGCTGTTTGTTCATGCGTCTAGTGTTTAAGTGATGCAATCTTGAACTGTGTGCTCCTTCTGCAGAGTGGGTAGAGTTCACGCCACATGAGGTGGGGATGCCAAAATATGGTGGTTTTGTGCGCACAGCTGACTTTGGGAGTGAGTTCTACATGGGCAATTTGGTGAGGCGCCATGCTGAACTACCACTGCATTACCTGCAAGGTAAGCCATGGGTAGATCATTGGATGACATAGGGGGCGGTTGATTGTTTGCAACTGCAGAGGGGAGATCAAAGAAACATAAAGATCCCCGTATAGCCTTAATAGACTGTATGGGCAAGTGCTGTTAGCGAGCACCTATGAAGGCCGGAACGGTACACGAGGGGGTGGGTGGCCAGCACCACGCCTGGCCGCCTTTGTCTCCCTAGTGACGATGTTTACACACCACACCAGGCACTAATTTGAGGCTGAGTCGACCTAGGGGAGGCCCAGAACCGGTTCAGATAATCGTCACTGGTGTTGGCCGTGAGCGGAAATCGAACCCGGGTCGCCGGGTTCACAGTGCAGCGCGCTAACCGCTACGCTATCGCAGAGGGGAGAAGAGGCTATTAGACAGCTGGGTCACAAACAGCCAGACGAGTGCTGGGTTCTTCTCTAGCACACGTTGTATTCAGTGGAATGATACATATGTGAGGACAGTACGGGGTGATATAGGGACAGTACGGCTCCCCGTGGCCATGGTTACTAATTAATGTAATGGGAACAGACAGGGTCACGTTAGGGTAATGTGGGACCTAAGTGGTCGCTAATAATGATTGATGCAACAAGCCGGGGACCTGACGGTCGTTAATTGTAATAAGGGCAGAGACAGACAGGGCCAGGTGCGGTGAGAGAGGGGGGGGCGGGTCGTGAGGGGGATAAAAGCCGGCGTGAACCGGGGCTCTGGGCTGCTGTTGTGGGGGCACTGCCGTCGCCGTCGTCACCTTGGAGCGGGTCGTCTTCATCATCCTGAAGTGGGCACCTGGTAGTCTTGGAAGGCTTAGAGTTACGTTGTCTCAGAATAGAGTTATCTAAGTTGCCCAAGTGTATATAGTCACTCGCGGTTACTGGTTAAGTTATTGAGTCGGCGGACTTTATTCATAATAAATATACATATAACTGAACAAGATGGTGTCTCTGAGAGCTACATTACACATAGATGAAATTATTCTTAAACTCACAATATCTGGTCCGAATCCCACGTGAAGAAATACATGTTTTTTTCAGATGTGTGCATGTTTTATGTGTGATGGATTTACAGGACTCCAGCCACTAGACGCCAAATACATGCACTACAATTAGTTTTTTTTATCGAATCGTGGTCCTGCATCATGAAAATGCATTGAATCGCAGGGGGAGGGTGAACCAATGCACCCTACTTAGTATGCTGTGGATTCGCAGTTGCCCTACATATTTCTGGAGATGTTTGGGTCTAGAATAATCCCTTTGGGAATGGAAAATAAACGGTGTGTTTTATTAGGTGTTCCAGATATCTTGTGATCCCCGTTTAATTTTCTAAAACTTTATATATTTAAAGGTTTATTTAAAACAGCAATTAATAGGCATTAGAAAAAAATGTTAGGGGTCAATAAATTGGGGGTCACAAGTCATCTGCACCAGGCTGTACCACTGTTTCAGCCTCCCTCCCCAAACTATGATTCTTCTTCTCTTCTGCAGGGTTGTGGGGGAGTGCATTTGCAGCAAGTCTGGACCGCATTTACCTGGATGCAACTGGAAGCAGCTTGAAATTGCTGAAATCTTTTAAAACTAAGATCAGTGCACTGGATGGTAAGAGCTTTGATTTTTATCTAACAAGCCACATTTTCACTCTGAATCCAATTATATGCATGAATAGGTATACTTTGCTAGAGGATTTATCAAGTTTTCTTGGAATGTTCTTGAACAAGTGTAACCAAACACCTGCTGGTACTATGTGATTGTGGTGCCAATTAATTTAACGTTTCAAAACACTTGCGGGAATAATTTTTACATTCATTGTAAATTGTTTAAATTTTACTCATTGAAAATTTACTCTGCTAAAATATTTTTTATTAATGATGAGAACAATTTGGTTAATTTGAGGAATAGTATATATCTTAAGGTCCGAACTATTGTACCTAATTTTATATAGTACTCAATTTTGAAAAATATCCTTTGTGAACACATTTTAGTATAGTGTATATTTCAACTCAATAAATGTCAAACAAAAATCTCACATTTTCACTGCCAATGCATTTAACTGTCAATAAAGCTTCAAATGACTCCTGCGCTTTTCCAAATAAATTTATATGAAACCTGACTCCAGCACAATTCTTACTGGGATTATTAAACTTATTAACGGATTATGCAGAATATATATTTTTTTACAAGAGGATATTCTCAGGTTTTTTTTCCCCAGAGAGAATTGAATCCCAGTGGCATAACATCAAATCGTATCATTTGTAGATTAGTAAAACATGCTTAATTGTGTTATCTAAATCCCAACATTTCTAATTGTCATCATCTTAGTTGCAAAAATGTTATACTGTATTCTCTGGATTATTAGATGCTCCAGAAAGTAAGATGTACCCCAAACTTGTGCCCCATGTAAAAAAAAAAATTGATACAAGTCTTGTCACACACATCTAGGGGTGGAAAGGGCATCTTATAAACTGAATGCAGCAATTCCTTTCCTTCAACACATCCCCGTTTTCTCCCTCAATTTCTATATTTCTCCTCCATGTTTATAAGTTAAACAAATGCGTACTCATGTCGCCTCTGCTTTTGTCCTGCAGACAAGGCGCAAGGTCACCTTGCCACCAAAGTGGTGACGCCCGTGAGCTGGCTCTCGAGCGCACTCGGCAACATCTTCTCCAAGCATCGTGCAGGACAGAACTTTAACTTCCTTTCTGGATGCTTCCTGAGTCGCAACTACCCGACGTCCTCACAATTTCTAACCAAGGATGGTGAGGAGAACTTCATTATTTTATTCAATGTAATTTCGGATTTTTTAACCCTTAAATTGCTGTTTAGATGTCAACTGATTTTTTTTAAATATATATTCACATACTCGTTACGTTTAAACGCGTGCTGAAAAGTAAATGTTGATTTACATTTTAACCAGATAAAACATGACGAGCTTGGGTCTGGTGTGGTGTGCAGTGGCGAACTTTGATAGCCAACCCAACCAACTTACTCCATTGGAGAATAATATCTTCCTTGTGGATGCTGGACTCAAACTGAACTCTGCATTCCCACTCGTGATGCGGCCCCAGCGGAATGTGGATGTCATAATTTCCTTTGACTTCAGCTGGCAGACGCCATTCACGGTAAACTTTAGCAGCATGGATGATACAGAGGGCTGTGCTTATACCACCTGCACAGTTTGTCAAAGGTGGTAAAGGTGAGGTCCTGCTATGCAATTGCTTTCTCTTGCCAATGCTGGAGAAAGGGCCTCCACTTCAGAGCTATATATTCCAAGACATCTAACCCACTGGTGAGAGGTCTTCCAAGAGATGGGAGTAGCCACACCTTAACCCACCACACCGGACCTACAGACCCTTACCTGTAGTGTACCTATTTCTGTGCCTCTGTATAATCTTCAGTGGACAGAGGTAGGGGAATATTAATTAACTCACCCTTTGTTTCAACTGCCACACCGGGAGAATGAACTGGCGACCTCAGGATTGTGTCCAGTGTGCTATACCACGGCAGCATCCTAGAGAAAATTAGCAATTACTATTGCATGAAAAACGATGTAGATGGAGTGCCTCTGTTCACCCAGTAGTATAAATGGGTACACCAAGTCAATTGGTAGTTGGTGTGCGGTGGGGTAAAGTGTGGCTCGTCTCATCTCTTCAAAGATGTCTGGCCAGCATTGAAGAATAGGCCAAAAACACCCTCTAGGGGGGTTTTCCAGAGCTCCTTCTGGTGGAAGCCCTTCTACCAGCAATGGCACGGACAAGAAGTGTCAGTGCCTTTAGCTTTAATTTTCTGTCCTTGCTACGCAGACCCTGACGTTGACCAGCAAGTACTGCCAAGAGCATGGCATCCCATTCCCAAAGATCGATATACCGTCGTGCAATCTTGACGATCTGCACGAGTGCTACATCTTCTCCGATGAGTCAGATCCACGGGCACCCATTGTCCTGCACTTCCCGCTCATCAACAACAGCTTCCGCAAATTCAAAACTCCTGGTGAGATCCTGCATTGTGCAACATAACACCTACACCATGATGCGCACTTCAGTTGAAAATATCATAGCTGGAGGTCTGTGCTTGAATGAGCTGTTGAGGCACATGTTTAATGTACACGGGAATATACACATCCTAATATATAACATTCAAGATAATCAAAGTTCAAGGGACGTCATTATGGCCAATGCCGTTGATGCCACGACACCTCGCCAACGTGTTCTACCCTCTGCCAGATATCGCAGCTGATGCATCGGAGACACGCGACATCCAAGATCTGCTATAGCATTGTCCCACCATCTGGTCTTAGGTTTTCCCCTTGGTCACCAGATTCAATAACCGGCCCTCCTCTACCCTACACATGTCCTACCCAGCACAATCTGTTTTACCATTTCACAATTGTCATCTTTTGGCCTTCATTTAAAAAGGTTGCACAGAAAGGATAAGGTTGAAATGAATGGCTTGTATCTGTGAAAAGCAATTAGACAAATTTTACATTTTCTTAATAACATCTAAAGGAATCATTGGTTCAGTGGTGTCGCTTATTTTTTTAATAATTGTGAAGGTGTATTTGTTTATATATAACGTCAGTACCTGGCATGGATAAGTATTATGCCCTTGACGAATGAAGACCGGTCATTATATGGCTAGCGAAGTAACAGATCTGTAGGTAAAACTGTAGAACTACAGTATATGCATATAATTCTAAATGTTTGAAAAATTGTGAATCGCCAGTGGCATGTGTATACTTATTTGTTATGTGTACCTAATTGGTTATCTACATGGCAGTGGTATTGACAGCATTTTTAAAGGATAAACTGAATCCCGATGTAAGTAATTTCCATCACTGGCCCTGGGCAATAAGCAGATGAAGTATTATTAACGTTTCAAAGGAACCACTAATATTAACGTAAAGTTCTGTGATATCAAAAGGCACACATAACATTACTATAGAATAAAGAAGTGTTATAATTTCCAAACGGCAATTATTTGAGTTGGCACAATTTGGGATGGCAATTTCATTTCAATCATAAATGTTGCTTTTGTTTTCACCTTCATATCTCATTTGTTTTTGTCTGCTCCAAACGCTTAAGTGGAACAGGTATTAATTCACATGTTATTTCATGATTTGTAAATAAGTGATTCTTACATACACATTTCAACGTCCATATTGAGAGCATAAGAATCACTTTTAATGTGTCAATCGATGCGTAAATGCCTATAAAGCAGTGATGGGCAACTTAGTGGGCCACATGAGTGGCCTTCCTTCACCTGTGGGCCGCAAGCTTGAAATCGTGCTTGTGCACTAACCCATGACCCCACGCATCACCCTAGACACACTTTGAGCAGGTCACCACGAGGGACTCCACAGGCCGCAGATTTCCCACCGCTGTTATAAAGCAATATAACAGATGTTGGTAGAAGTTCTCGGCATCTGGTGCCACACGGAAGCGCCTGTGACGTGTGCGTTTGTGCGCCCAGGCAATCCGCGGGTGACTCAAGAGGAGTGCTCCTTTGGTGATTTCGACGTCTACATGAGCAACTCGCCCTACAGGACCTTCAACTTCACCTACTCGGAGCTAGAGTTCGACAGGCTGATCGCACTCAACCACTACAATGTTGTCAACAATCTGCCGGCAATACGGCAGGCACTGCAAAGTGCCCTTAAGCGCACTAAACGAAGGGCGTTGCCGGCCAATAGCGAAATTTGACCAAAACTGATCCCAGTAATCTCAGGAAGGCATGGATAATCTTACTGGTTTTATTTAAAGCACAATATTAAATAGTACATTATCTTTAATACATGTCAAGATGTACGCTATTTTATGCGGGTTATTATATTTGATGTGTGTGTTGCAATTTGGGCTATGTGTTTTTTTAATTCTGAGAAATGTGCATACAAGATGTCTATAAAAATTCTCACTAAAAAGGCAATCGGAAAAAATTAAAACGGTATGGAAGTCTAAAACACTTTAAAAGCATCACAAACAATTTATCAGGTAAAATACATTCTTCAATGTGCATCATTGTATTTGTGAGGTTGAACATCCTAACAGCACATTCACCAATAATCCAGTTTGCAGGGAATTATCAAAGAAACTGCTTGTTGCAAAGCGAATGTTAAAATACCCTGTAAAATTCCCAATGTAGCCCAATGAGTTGATCAGTAAAAAAACTTACATGTTTTACATTCTGCAATAACAAAATAAATATACACATAGAATGGCCATATATGGTTTACCAGATAGATATGTCATAGAACATGTATTATCATAATGATCTGTCATCTTCTTTGGTTCTTTCGGTAAAGTCACGTAGAATGAGAATAAAATAATAAAATAACACAATAAAATTCTCACGACGTTTCGGCCACAACGCAAGCGGCCGTCTTCAGGTGAAAAGTACAGAACTGTCGGGACGACAGAGCTTCAATGAACGATGTTAAAATTCGTAGCGACTTTTAAGCAGGTTCATTGAAGCTCTGTCGTCCCGACAGTTCTGTACCTTTCACCTGAAGACGGCCGCTTGCGTTGTGGCCGAAACGTCGTGAGAATTTGATTGTGTTATTTTATTATTTTATTCTCATTCTACGTGACTTTACCGAAAGAACCAAAGAAGATGAATCCTTGCAGTCACGAAAGCTTCAAATCGAAAAATGATCTGTCAATTGTGATGTTGCTCATTTATGTTATAAATATGCAGTGTGATCCTACCTCAACAACTTTCTCAACCAATTATAATTACCCATGTTTTACGTGTTCAAAATTGCTTTTTGAATTTTCCACACAGACAATATTCATGACCAAAAGATTGGATACACCAAAAAAGTGATTAAAATAACGTAAAATAGCTGTAACCAGGCAGGGCTTCTGCCCAGAATGTCAAAGTAGAATCTAATTTGGTCCCGAGATATAATAAATGTCACTGCAGTTCGTTGAAAACTCATGCGTCTGTTTGCCCAGGTTGCTTTACCCAATTCTACTCCTAAGGGTCACATGCGGTGCAAAGGTGCTCAGAGCAATATGATTTGCAGGTTTTTTTTATGAGCTCTGCAGCAGGTAGGTGGTTCTGATCCACCTGTTAGGCTTTGCTCTGAGCTGTAATGTATGATTCTTTTTGTTATAATAAAACACGTTTTGCAATATTGCAAGTACTTTAAGATGCAAAAGTGTGTTTGTTTTGATGGCCAATTCGTTCAGCTTGGATATATTTCCAAGGACAAAACGATTATAATTTTATCATGGAAAATTATAGATTTGTCACAATTGTAGGTTTATCACTTTTGGGGAAATAGTTTACAATTTTCATCGAGTAAAATGTATTTTTCATATCCATGTATTTTTAAAAAAGGAATTTATGGCCATCACCGATTAAAACACAAGGTTAGAATGGTCGTTTTGAGGCAAACCTCCCCCCCCCCCCCATAAATAATTGCATGATTGAGCAAAACAGGTTCATATTTAAATCTCCACTTAATGGAAATTGTTCTACTATAATAATTATCTAGGCGATAGTGATAATTGGAGAATTAAGTCATGGACCCCATCAACTCGATGCTTATCATGTGCCTGCTGTGGTCAAAATGATGAAGTGAATAATCCCAACCTTCCATTCCCACGAATATATTTCTTTGGGCACGTCATGCTCCATTAGCTTATCCCTGAATGCAGTTGCCCCTGGGGCTCGCGTCACGCCCCCAGTAGGGAGGCTGACAACTATTGGATTAATGCAGTCTGTGGGTCACTGCATTGTTGGCCACAAAGTGAAGAAGACAGATCTGCATGGAAACTGCACCTGTACATGTCAGCTTTTGCTGGCCTTTCTTACATTTAGCACTTCGTGTAAAATAATTGTCATGTCAATTATCCCATTGAGATGCTACTTACATTTCTTTAGCGCCCATAAATATCTCTCCCATGTCTTATTACCACTAAGCTCAAATATTTTTTTCCCACATTAAGCATACGATGAGGTCCATTTTTTTTACATTTAAAGCCAACAAGTTATGATTTTCTAGCTTCCAAAGAGTGTCGTTGAATCATTGACTTTTTAACACAACAAAATGACGATTGCATTATGCAGTTTTTTTTAGTTTAACTAAATTTTAAGATGTGTTTCAACTGCACTGAAATGATAAGTACCAAGTGAAAGGCAAAGTGACGGGATAATTTACTCCATTAAAATGTATCGGTAAGCATGAGGTGATCACATTTTCACAACAGGATTGTACAATGGAATTATAAGTAGTCGATAAGTACTGTGATTACCACATTCCATATGAAATTATATACACACAAGATATCTACACACTAGCTACACGAAACTTGAATAGATATTAAGCTTTGTATAGGGTGTAAATATTGAAGTATATCAGGCTTTCTCATCTGGAGTAAGCGCATTATTTTCCATGAGGAACTGTACGGTTAGGTGGACTCCAGGGTGGAACTTCTTCTTGATAAAGAGAACGGCTCTTCCGCAGCCTCCGATCCAGCTTTTGCTGCGACTCCTTTTTGTCCTGTAATGGGATGAAATATGATCATGTTTTCACATCAACAAACCACTGTAAAGACACTTCCACAACCTTGAAAAACCAACACGTATTGATCATCGTCGACACTAGTCGTCGGTCTTAATGTGTTGCACGCTTCGAGCAGTGGACATGCAGCGAGTTTCCATTTTCAGTTCCACTCCTCAACAACTGGACTTTTTTTTTTATAGCAAGGCTTACACGCTGGGTGTTCTTGGTTTTAATAGGCTTAAGTTGTTGACGTTAAGGAACTCCTCCCGTGCACAGTACTGCGTATGCAGAAGAACCTTTCGCTCTTTCTGAAGTAAAAAGAGCACAGTACTGCGTATGCCAACCATATCATCGGGGTGGCTCCCAGGTGTAGAGTACTTTCACATATTTTGCATTTACATATGCACAAAAACTGTACTTTATACAAGGTTACTCACCATCCAGTGTTCATATTCATCCTGGGCTTGCCTCTCTTTGCATTCCTTAATGGCCCTCTCCTCCACATCCCTTTTCTTTGCTTGTTTTAATTTCTTTTTCATAGCTTTCAATTCTTCGTCTTTTTTCTTCTTCCTAGAATAGGCAGCATATTAAAACCACTGAGTCTCACAACACACCTAAGTACATTAATTTATTATATGTTTAAACAGTTCAACATAAATCAAATTGTCTCATGCATGTACATTTGTAACAAAGGATAATTATTACGACAGTGATAAAAACTGGAATCGTATTTCCAGTTAAGTAAAAGATAAAATGGTAAGGAAAATATATTTATTGTCACTTTATTCATTGCATATCAGCCCTGCGTGCAATCCCGCTAGATTGTCGGGAGATTCAAGAAAGAGTGCATTCCATTATGTGAGTGGTCACAAAAAGCAACTGAATGGCTTATCGAGACTTGACAGATGCATATAGTAATGTCCTGATATGGCAGGAGCACAAGAGGTTCCTAATATTTGTTGCGGACGGCTGGTGGCTACAGTGTCGACAGAGCAATGGATACAACTTCACACGGGGAGTCTACAGTGGTGCTTCTGAGGCAGTGGGACACTGCACAGAGCCCCAAGAGATGGTGCAAATATCCAGGAACGTGGGAGATGATCTGACATGATGACCTTCTGAGAGCAACCTATCAACAGGAGGTCTTCTGGGTCACTTCAATCCCAAGCACCAAGTTGGGAGGGATTTTTACGTTAAAGTTATCGGTTGTCCACACTGAGCTTTACTTAAATGAATTTACTGACGTGGGCCATGTTAACCATGTACCTGGGGCCCCAGTGTGATGCAGCTGGTAGAATGTGTCGTAAGCTTTAGGTTTTTATACTTCTGAAGCTTTGCTGGGCACTAAATGGTGCTGAAAAGGTGAAGGGACCTGGCGATGGCTGCCAGTGAAAGTCAGGTTGAGTTAAGAACCTAGTTTTAATCATATTTAATGTGCACTCATTGCCTACATGTCAGAAGGATTTACCATATGTCGTATAACTTCTCTGCGTCCTCCTTCTTTTGGTCCATTTTCTCGTTTTCCTTGCGTTGCCTATCTCGCTCAACTGATTTCTCTTTGAGACATTCTTTCAAAATATGCTTGTCTTTGTCTTCTTTCCACCTCTCAAAGGCCTGTGTAGGTCAGTATGTGGAAAAAAGTAAAAATTAGCAACACATAGAAAGTTACTTATAACCATGAAACCACCGAAATAGACAACTAACCTTAACATTTTGTCCCTTAATTCTTACGGTCGGCTATAATCAACACTTGAAAGATAATGACAATTAGATTGCAAAAGTTACGATGACAGTTTTCATTACAGGAAGACAAAATTAACTTTGCACTATACATTAAATCAGTAATTATGTTGCTGTCTATTTAATAACGTTCATGTGAGTAATCGTATTTTGGCCTCACTGCCTTTTTTGCATCTTCATTGCGTTCTTCCTTTGCTTTCTCGGCCTCCTGTTTCTCTCTGTCTTCTTCCATTTTTTTCTTCTGCTGTTCTGCAATGTACTGCTTCTTCTGCTTGCTCCACGCCTGGAAAGTACTCTCCACTTCCATCTTCTTGTCCTTCTTTTCTTTCTGCAAAATTAAATTCACACCTTTTAAAATGTTTGTTTATTTTGCGTAACCAGTGCATTTTTGAATGTGTTTTATTCATTTCCCAAGTGACTGTATTCCTTATGCATTATTTGCGTTGGCTTTGACAGAGAATGTTTTGACTGATAGACTGAAAACATAGGCCATGGACTTTTATGTACATGATAGAAGTGACATATACCTTTCAAACTATTTGTAATAAGGATGTATGCTTTACGGTATAGTTCATTGCATAAATATGAAGTCTACAGAAGGAAAGATTTACCTATTTGACGTTGTAAAGTGTTCGTTTTTATTTTTGATTAACGTTTAATCAGTGCTGTGAGTTTAAGAGCAAACACTAAAAATACAAATAATGATGATTAGCAAGTCACTCCTTGTTGTGATTAGTGATAGTCCTCACCTGTTCTTTTATCTCTTTCTCCCTTCTGAATCGTTCTTGAATTTCTTTTTGCTCCTTTATTGATGCAGTCTTTCTCTTTAACCACTCCTAATGCAAAACACAAATAGAACATGTTTCCTTAAGTCATGATTGACAATTCAGACATAAATCTATTCTCATTGTCACATCCTTAAAACGATCATAAATCATGATTTAAAGCTTTCGTGACTGCAGGGATTCATATTCTTGGTTCTTTCGGTAAAGTCACGTAGAAGGGAAACAATAAAATAATACAAATATAAAACAATAAAAACTTTCAGACCGCATTCCATTCTCTTCCTCTCCCCCCTCCTCTCTTCCGAACATAAATGGACTCGTCCATCTGAACAACTGCCAAAATCGCTGTCCGTGGTGCTAACGTTAAGAAAAAAATGCCACTTTTTTCAAATTTCCTTGCTGTGTTTTTCACACCTGATGATTGCTTGTGTTGCAGTTGAAACGTGATAATTTAATTGTTTTATATTTTTATTATTTTATTGTTTCTCTTCTACGCGACTTTACTGAAAGAACCAAGAATATGATCATAAATCAATGAGATACTCTACACAGTAGATTGAACACACTTTTGCCATTGTTAGAATGGTAAAAAAACACACATATAGAGCTATGACGGCACAACCTAGAAGACCTATACAGGTGTATTTGCATTTTATCTCAGTAAGTACCTGATAGATAGATGCACGGATGGTATCGGGACATTCAGGGCTCAAACTGACGTTCAGCTGCGACCTGGAATCAAGCACCTTGAGTGTGCCCAAGTAACGCGACTGTGCAGAGATTGGTCGAGGGCTTCGTCCTCTCTGGGACTTCACATACGTGCGGTTCAGAGAACTTGCTGTTTGGCTGCACACAAACGGACATGCGTGCACAAAGAAACACTTGCGCATTACACCGTTTAATTCTGAAACATATAGTGCAGGGATGCCGCTGTGGTGTAATGGTTATCAAATCTGGACATGCAATTTAGAGGTCGCCCATTCGATCTCCTGGAAACAATGGGAAACAAAATTTCAAATCCACCCCCGCCTCCCATCCACCCGGCAGTATAAATGGCTACACTACGGTTAGTCTCGCCAGCGTGGAAGAGGAGACCAGAATACCCCTCTAGATAGGTTACCTCGAGTTCCCTCTGAGAGGCCCTTCTGCTAGTGGTATGATCAAGTAATTTCAGGGCTGCACCTTTACTTATTTAAACTGCACATTGAGCGATTGCGAATTTATGAAGATTGTTTGCCTCAAAATATTTTCAGTTATTTTTGTTTTAAGTTTTAATGGTGAATATTTTCAACTTCCTTCTATACCACTGTTGCTGCAGTGTGGATTTATATTTGAACAACACATTTTAAAGCTGTTTTGACGTCCTATTATAATGTACATATATAATTATACCATATTCTTATGTTACCTAATTGGACTATGAACATAGATGGGCAGGCCAGGTGAAAATTCTCATGGAAAGGTGAAGCATATTTTGTACCTTGTGTGTGACATTTTTTCCAACTGGTCATCAATCGTCTCTGAGTCCATTCCACCTCCAGTGCCCTGCAAGAAGACATGAGACCAGCAAGGTGAATAATTGCGATAGGGTGATATTCTGATGTTAAGAATGACATAAACATTGACTTCTCCAAGACAGAGGTTCTTTGTAAGCCATCTGGCTACCATGAGAGATTCGTTCATGAGGCTATCCACATATACAAGCACAGAGACAATTTCAACCGAGAAGATGGATTCTGGCTTGGCAATCATTGGAAGGATTTGATAAACCATTTCAGGTCTTAATTGATTGTTCACGCTTACGGTGGCTTTCAGACAGCATACATTAATTTTTCGTCTCCCCCCTCCTCTTTTCAGAACATAGATGGACTCGTCCTTCTAAATAAACTGCCAAATCGCTGCCCGTGGTGCTAACGTTTTTTATAAATAAATAAATACAACGTTTAAAAATAAATAAATGTGAACCGCCACTTCTTTCAAATGTTTCTTGCCGTTGTTTTTTCACACCTGATGATGACCGTTTGTGTTATGGTCGAAACGTCGTGAGAATTTGTATTGTTTTATATATATTATTGTTTCCCTTCAACGTGACTTTACCGAAAGAGCTAAGAACATCAAAAAGTATTTGATTTCATGATTATATGAACACTGAGGTGGTGCTCATCTCCTGTCTACAGCCGTAATTTGTGAAATTTGCACACCTGTTGGGCTGAGAGATGGCCAGGAGACATCAATACATAGCTGGGTTCGTGAAACCAATTTGAAAGAACCTATGTGTACTATCCCATCGTATGTGTGGTGGGTTTTATATGTGTACTCCAGCCTGCTCTCACATGAAAGCAAAACACGAATACATAAAGGAATTTGCCAGCAATCCGAATGGAGGACCCTCCTGAACAACAATCTAGACTCAGAAATGCTTTATGGAAATGCATTTTCAGTTCTTAAACAAATTAGCTTAATTTATCTTTCTGTTGTTATCACAGTCTACAATTATTGCAGAATGTATTCATATGCAATACATTTAAATATGACCACAACTGATTGAGATTGGCTCAAAGGACTTATCCTGAATGAATCCACTGAAATGTTGCTTAATCAGATAGGTTCAGAATGGGATTATTTATGAAATAACTAATCCTGGCCAATTAGATCGAAACCATGAATCCCGAGTACATACTATGTCAACATGACAAGAATTTGGCAGTGTGCTTGAGTAGGATAAGATAATTTCACTCATTAAAAATGTATTGACAATTATATTCTGCATTAAAACCATTATGCTCCACTCATATAAGTAGTGCCCATGCGCACACTCAAAGCTATTTATGGGCAGCATTATTAACTGTATGATAAAATGTGTGCTCAACAAATATAACATCTGAAACACAACAATGTTCACAAACTCCAGGATTATTACACATACTGGAGTGAGATGTCAGTTTTGTTCTCTCCACAATTATTCTGAAAATAAGTGTTAATGCACTTTTCTATATGTAGCTGCATTTTAGTAAGAACCACGTAAAACAAAAGTGCGTGTGCTTTCAGGACATGTATGGGATGTCAAATCATGTCAGTTAAATGGGCTACATCTGTTGAGTGCTAAGTTTTTTTATGCACTATTTATTATCCAGCAATTTACAAGTAATTTAGTAGCATATACGGGTCATCTAGCAGTAATGGCTTACAATTGGTATAAAATCAAGTTTGCAATGTCGAACACAAATCTGTTCTCAATCCTCACAAAGAGTCGCAATTCCACTTGAATTTATTTTCTACCTAAATGGCAGATGACGGCAAACACGCTGGGATCACCGAATTAAAATTATATGGCGAAACTTACACTAATTATTATAATGCAGTGCTGCAGAACACATGAATGTGTCGCTAAATGTGAAATGCAACTGACATTTTAGGAATGTACCACTTCTCAGATGCAATTCCATTTTTGCCAAGTGTCTGAATGTATGCTCCTCGGCGCCTTGTCTGCACGTACCTTTCCGCCACTGTAGTTCTCTTGGGAGATTTCTGCCAGTGTGTTGTCAAAAAGATGACCTTCTGTTGACTGTTGGTCAATTGTAGAGTTTTTTGCGGTGGACCGGTGTGATTCTGGCTTGTAAGGGGGTTGGCCATATTTCACGGGCTCCTCTGGAATGAATGTGACCAGAGACTCTGATGAGGCTCGTCTGCCCATTGATTGAGGTCCGTCAGTAAGTGTCTTTGAGTCCCTGCCTGCCAATCAGAATTTTTTTCAGCATTTTATCATTCCATTGCTGGATGCAAGCTTCCTCATGCTGTGCTAGTCATGGCATGGCGAGGCCTTCATCCAGCAAAGGACTGACAAAGGGCTATACATTAACATATTTACCAGCACATTAAACTAATTTAAAAGATATAGGAATTTAAGGATTCACCCCCTCCCGGTTTGATGAATTGTCACAGTCTGGGGTCACAATGTGATTCAAATACACTTAATGTTATGACTTTGAGGTAAATATATCGCATTTAGTGAATGCAAAAGTCACGTGAATCAATAACATATAGCATGTACGATTGAATGTAATCACACAATTCTCTGCATTGTGAACATAATCAATTTTACTCAATGAATGTATTATTACTAAAATGCAGTATCAAAGTGAAGCACTAATTGCAACAAATAATTTTTAATAACAGGATGCTACAAGATTTATAATACAATTTTAATCATACCTTAAAGCCAACGGCAAAAAAGAACTAAGAATATGTTGAAACCAAATCATACAAAAAATGGTTTGATGTCCTAAAAGTGGTTCTATTTGATGCACATACATTTGTAGTTAAAAGAAAACCTTTAATCAAAATACATTTACAATGGTTTTATATTTCTTTCAAAGGGACTTTTTTATACTGTATACTTGAAAATAACAAAAACTTACAAACTAAGTGAACTCTTGTTCATGTTATAATGTACTGATTTTAAGTACATTGGAAAATCTTCTGCAATTCAGACAAGACTTATAATGGAGGAAATTTAAATAATTACAAGACTCAGTGATAGGTTACGTCACATTTGAGATACATATTTTATTTCAACCAACTTATTCATAAAGAAACATTAAGGAACAATCAATACCCTTTCAATCAAACACTGACAAGAAAAAGTATAGATATAACGATAACAAAAAAATGGACAGAATGAAATTGGTTCCTTAAATTGAAAAAAAAAATGATCAAGAATGATTGTACCAGATGGTAATGCTCCATTGTCGGTTGGTTTGGGGTCAGGAGAAGGTGGTCGAAGTGAAATATCCCCGGAGATTTCTCGTCGCATGTCCTGCAAGGTAAATGCCATCATCAGTTCGCTTTGTATAAATGTGTGTAGATTGCTACAGCAGATGTAATGCCAGTCAAAACAAGGCTTTTACACTTTACATATGCAGCAACACCATTCACTCAAATTACAACACCATTCACTAAAATTACAACACCATTCACTAAAATTACAACACCATTCACTAAAATTACAACACCATTCACTAAAATTACAACACCATTCACTAAAATTACAACGTCAGATCTCATGAGTAGCAATGTGTGAAACAAATACAAATCCTGGGATCCAAATTTGACATTTTAAATCGAAATACTCAACATACAGGTCAATGAAGAAAACAGCTTATTTTGAAAATAAAATTCTTCACAGAAATGCTTTTGAAGATGTCTAGATAATACCAAATTAATGAATACTTCTATATATGTCTATCGTGTTTCATACTATGAAATTATTTTCCTTCAGGCAACAGATGTTTGGCAAAAACACTAAAAAATATCTTCTTGGTTCTTTCGGTAAAGTCACGTGGAATGGAAATAAAATAATAAAACTAAAACGTAATAAAATAAAATTCCCACGACGTTTCGACCACAACACAAGTAGCCTTCCTCAGGCGAATAAACAGGACTGTCCAGAGGAAGGCTACTTGTGTTGTGGCCGAAACGTCGTGAGAATCGTATTTTATTATGTTTTATTTTTATTACTTTATTTCCATTCCACGTGACTTTACCGAAAGAACCAAGAAGATTAATCTCTGCAGTCACGAAAGCTTTAAATCGAAAAGGAAAAAAATTATATTTAATCACTGACAGGGAGCACAAGGATCTGGCATGTGCGACCGTCTTCTACAATTTTCAACCACCGTTCTGACAGCATGCCATTGTGGCTGATCTAGTGTCTCTGAAAAATGATGAAATTGTGACCGCCCAGTGCTCATTTTCATACAGTGATGGAATGCTCATGCAAAAATAAGGCTTGGTGAAATGGTAAAATGACATAGAATGCAAAATTATAGCAAATGTATAATACATGAGATTCTACTCATACCGCTGTTTACTTCTTTTGAAACAAGAGTAGAGCTAGGATGTATAATAATGAAGGTAATTACATATTTCAACATAACTGTTGCCTTTGTCCCCTGTCACAAACTAAACTGATGTGATCAGGTGGAAATTTGAGAACACAAGGATAAACAAAAGCACTAAACATTTCAATATATGCAGCTCGGAAGTACATTTTTAACGATCCATCTTAAGATTTACCTACATTACTATGTCTTCTCGGTTGAAATTGTGTCTAAGCTGAGCAATCATTGGAAGGACGTTATTAACCAAGCAAAGTCGTAACTTGCTTTGGTGCTTCCATTCTTCCCTGCCGTTTGGCTGTTATCTCTGACTCTCTGAGTTGCATTGCCCTGTTAGGTACCTCTGCATTAACGGGCTGGGGTCTCACTAACATGGCCACTTCTGCTCCCTTAGCCTCGATGTATCGATGGTTCTGGCTGTGTGATGGGCTGTGTGTCTCACTGGCGCGACCACCGTTGCGGTGGTTCTCTTGCGTGGACGCGCTTGCCTCTCACGGCGTAGTTGGCAGGGCCGCAGCTTGTGTTACACATAGACATGACATTAATCTGCTAATCCCCCTAATCTCTCTGCCTAATCTCTTCAATCAACATCTCCCATTAACACTGCTGTTGTGCGCATATGCGGGGGCGATACTCTGATGCGGCGACGGAAGCTCATTTCATGCTAATCTCTTTCTCCCTAATCTCCCCCATTAACACAACTGACATGCTTGCGTGCGGGGATGGAATTCCTTTCCAGCTCACACCCCGCCTGCTTGCTCTTCGCCACATATATAACCTCCTTGTTGTAACAGCTCTCTCGCTGTGTTCTTCCTGGTTCAGCAGTTCCACTGCTGGATTATTTTTCCCGCCTGAGGACCGCTTGTGTTGCGATCGAAACGTCGTGATATATTCTTTTTTTATTTTATTGAAGAAGTTAAACAAATAAATAATTATACGCAGCAACAAAGGGTTTTTGGTGTCTCTTCAGCACTTGTAACAAAAGGTAAGTCAAATTTTTGCTTCTAAATTATGATAAAATATTTAAAAAAATTACTACTAGAATAAGCCAAGAATGTTTGTCCCGCCAGTGACGTTCCTCCACATGAGGCCCACCCCCCCACGTGACGTCACTCCACATGAGGCCCACCACCCCCCCCGCGTAACGTCACTCCACATGCCGCACCCCTCCCCTCATTAATAATCATGAGCGGGTCACGTCACTCCACTTGCCGCACCCCTCCCTTCATTAATAATGAGGGGGTGACGTCACTCCACATGCCGCACCTCTCCTCTTATTACTCATGAGCGGGTCAATGTTAACCTTTATGGTCGCTCAAAAGTATTCAAGTAGATCTCTACTTTGAAAAGAAAAGCATCTTTCACTTAGATTTATGACCCATGTTACAAACACATGGACAGATAGATGGAAAGAGGAAATCCATGAATGATCTTAGCCTTAGCCAGAAAGCTTAAACAAATGTCTGGTGAATAAAGTACAGGAACTTCTGCTTAAGGGCTTACCTGCCGAGCAGAATGGCGCGATGCTGGAGTCGGTGCAGGTGTTTCTGATGGAGACAATGATCGACGTTCTGTCGAGGCAGACACCCTACACTCGTAAAGAAAAAAAAACCACAATGTTTCCTACTCCTTGTGTTTGATAACTGTAATTACGTGAAATAATTTTATCCTAAACTATTCGGGTAATATAAACAATTTCCATCAAATAACAAGCATGTATGTTTCAAATATATAAAGTCTTTAATGCAGGGTTTGCATTGGATTTTGCTCAAAAGAGGTGAATATACACATGCGAATCATGGGAAAAGGTTTAACACTTGAAGTAAACAAGATCCTTAAAGATACATATCTTACACACTAATCATTTCTTAATTAAAGGACACTACATGTGCAATGCAATTATGACCTTGAGGTTGATGACAGAGTCCGAGCTGGAGAAGGAGAACGGCTACTTTTGGTAATTTCTGAAGAGAAGTCATCCGAATACCCTTCCGCTGAGCTCCGACCTGTGGATGCCCTCTTACGTGGCATAGGTACTGGCGTTGAGCTGCCTTCATTGCCTGCAGTATAAATACACAAGCGTGGAAATAAATTAGTCACCTCCAGTTGACCAAGATCACATGCTGTAAAGGTAAGAGTGTGGATGCTCCCACCTCTTTTGAGATGTCTGGCAAGTGTGGAAGAGTACTGTAGTTCAAAATAGAGTGGTGCTCTCGGGCTCCCTCTCATGGAGGCCCTTTCCCCAGCTGTGGTGTGAGCAAGTAATTGCAGGGCTGCACCTTGACCATCTTTACCAAGATTAATATATTTACTCTTTAAAAATGTTGTACATTGCAGCAATTCTCACATGAAGGTTATGTTTTAAAAATTGTATTTTGTGATGTTTATGTCATCAACATCTTAGAAACACATTGATTTATACTGTTCGTAGTGGTTACCCATTGTTAACAAAAGCGTGTTTCTATTTAAAGCTTCAAAATGCTATAAACTATACTATTGACCGTTGTGTGAAAGGTACTAAGAGGCAATGCCACCCAGCTTAAAAGACGCTTCCAAACTTGGCAGTGTTCACTCAAGTGCTGTCTTCCCGACAGTTCTGTTTCTTCACCTGAGGAAGGCTACTTGTGTTGTGGCCGAAACGTCGTGAGAATTTTATTTTGTTATTATTTTATTTCCATTCTACGTGACTTTACCGAAAGAACCAAGAAGAAAAAAGCGTGTTTATTTCTTTTCTGCCTTTTAAAACGATAGGGCTCCAAGCCTATGCTTCTGTTTTATCACCAAATTATTGTATTCACCATCATGTACTCTAAATGATGCTTTATAAAATATGCAAGTTAAAAGGCAGTGTCTGCCTGTGCAGCAATATGGTAGCACTCATCTCTTTTGGCACCACTTAGCCAGTGATGTAAATTCCAGGGTTGGGATCCAGTTTCTCTATATGACAATGTGCATAAATATTACAAATATGTTGTCTATGCACCAGTTTAAGCAACAATTCAGAGGAAATATTAAGTGTATAAAGTTTAATTAGAATGTTTCACATTGGAACACTTCTTTACAACAATAAAGTGTTGAAATTGGACTATGATTGAGCAGCAGCGTCTGATACAATGTTTTTTTTCATTATTTTCAACATCCTCTTTCCAACTCCCTACCCATTCATCATACTCACTCATCGTTAACCACTCATTTTCACTTTCATCATCGTTTATTTCACGCATCATCATATTCATGTACTCCCATCCTCATCAACTGATCTCATCACACTGTTTTGCTGTACCATTGCTGATTCTCTGTTCAGTGTTTTGGTTAAGGCGCTATATAAATTAGACAATCATCTCGCTTGCAAATGAATGTCGAAAACTTAATCTAAGCTCAGCTATATGCATGTTAATTTACCCTGGCCAAGATGTAGTTAAGAATGTGCAATTACACATCTATAACACGATTCCATCAATGAAACCCTTACATTCATGAAGATCACATACATGTTTGAATGAATCAATTTAAGTATGCATATTTTTCGATTTAAAGCTTTCGTGACTGCAATGATTCATCTTCTTTGGTTCTTTCGGTAAAGTCACGTAGAATGATAATAAAATAATAAATTGATAAAATAAAATAATTGCATTGTACTATAAAATAATTGCATTGTACTATGAACCTTGACAGCCTTGAGTTTGATTTCTGACTATGGCTAACACCAATGGTGAGTGCTGATCCCCTCCCCAGTATGCCTTTCACCAACCCACACTGACCAGCTTATATTGATGCCTTTTATAAGTGAAACATAACATTATTTTCAAAATAGTGGTGTGTGTGACAGCATCACATTATTTTAATGTAGCAGATATGTTCCTTCAGGGACCAGTTGCCTCAGAACACAAATCAATGTTTGGTATCTGCTGTACATGACAAACCTTTTCATCTATATTTCGAGGGCCAAATGCACCTCTGATTATTACGGTTGGATATGTACGGTGTGACAGAAGATCAAACTACATACAATTGCAGAAATGATGATGAGCACATTTTATGGACTTGCAGCACTTTTGAAACAATCATGTAAACTCCATTGGATGGATAGAACCTCAAGCGCCCATCCCCCACTTCTGCCCTTCCCTCTCCATTGGTCGTTCATGTGCAGTACGGTGGACTGCCGTTAGCCCCTACCTCTAGCCCTCTCAACTGCCCCGGTCACACGCTGAGTTGGGTGAACAGGTACACAGACATGGAGATCCACAGAGATACAGAGAGTCACATAGACAGACACATTCAGAGATACGGAGACACATGCAGTGACACACAAACACAAAGACACGCAGACAAGACAAACGAAGACACACATAGAAATGGCAATACACAGAGACATGGAGACACACACTGACAAGGAGACATTTACACAAACATGCAGTTGGGCGAATTCCTGTCAATGATTTTGGCAGTGCCACTTAATTTTCTTGTTCTTGATAATATAAGGGGTTGTGAATGCCAAACTACAATGCATTCCCACCCACCCACCACCTGGGCTTACAGTGTTTTTGGGGGTCCAAGTAATTATGGCAAAGAACCACAAATTTATGACGAAATACCACAAACTCCCATAAATATATTCCAAAGTAAAACACAAACCTCCCCCCAATCCACAGCCCCTTCCCAGCCATCCTTTCTCCTTCGCACAACCTTCTCAAGCCCCGGCCTGTGGATTAGGACGAGCAGGGAGGAGGGGTATTTGTGGTACTTTGCAGCTAATCTGTGATCGCCTGTAGTACGATGTGGCAATCAGTAGGACCGATTTCTTGATATGGTGTACCACTAAGTTCAAGCAAGCATGAACATGTGCCGTAGAATTAAAACGATTGAAGAGCATTGCCCTAAAGTTCCATCTCTAGGTGCTGAAATGCAATCCACTAAACGTAAGCTTCCAACAAAAACTGCAATCGCCTGAGGTTTTACATGTGACAAATTGATTTCCTGTGTTCACAAATAAATCTTGCTTTCCTTGGCAGGTTCTAATAGATTCAGCTTTAATCTCTTTAAAAGCCCAACATATAGCCTGGGCAGTACACACGCTGATAGTTCCCTTATTCACAAATTTGTCAACCATACCTTTCACATACAGCCCCAAGTAAACTTTAAGGGCAACGTTTAATCTTGGGGCTTTTTGTTGCATGCAGATAAAATAACTTTAATAAAAACATAACAGCCAGTAAACAAGCAAAAGACTAATGGTATACACAAAATACATTGGTTAAACAACCTTTGTTATGCCAAAAGGCAACAAAGCTTAATTACTGAAATACCAGTGACAACTGTCTGCCTATATTGATTGTGGAGGAGGGATTGGTCATTGTAGACAATCAATCCTTATAACTCATGTCTGATGGCATCATGCTTCGTTGTGACTCTTATTCTCCTCTAAACAAAACGCATGTCTAGAAAATAAGTTTTGAAATGTCACATGAGAGATACAATGCTGTTTAAAGGTGTCTGCAGGAGCTTGTTTTTTTTAAAATCTAAATCAATATAATGGAACCTTGACTTAAAGCTTTCATGACTGCAGGAATTCATATTCTTTGGGTCTTTTGGTAAAGTCACATAGACTGCTTGTGTTGCGATCGAAACATCGTAGTTTTTGTTTTTTGTTATTTTCTTTGAACCAATCTATGTGACTTTACCGAAAGACCCAAATAATATAATATATTGAAAGTTAAAGTTTTCTGAATCAGCAAGAATCATTCTCAAATCTTAAGCTGAAGAACAGTTCCAAAGGGGATGTTTGGAACAGGATATTTTTAATAGCCAATGGACCGACTTTCTACAAATCTGTCCACAGTGTACATTCAGCCAGATTGATATTTTTACAAAATGTGTTGTCGATTTGCCAAATGTTAGCATGACAGTCACAAACCATGCAAATTATCGTCTAACAAACTGCCCACATGTACTGGACTAAATTAAAATATGAAGATGACCTAATAACTCTTAAAACAAAATTGTTAACAAAAATACAACCACAAAGGTAATTTAACATTAGAGTATTTCAGTCACAGCACAGGCATTTGAAAACAGCTCTCACCTGTTAAAGAAGGAGAGGTTGCAAATGAGACTTGTCTGTCATGCGACCTGGGTCTGTGATGGCCCTCCCTGTTCGTTAACTTGCTGTCTTCCACCTGCCCTTGGGAAGTGACACGTGGTTCCATCACGGAGTCAACTTGATCATCCACATGCTCCTCGACCTTTCGATCCCGTTTCAGGAAAGATGATCGTTTTCCTTCCGCAACTTTTTTTTCCTTTTCTTTGTCCTCTTCGTCATCCGACAGCTCAAAGTTAAATGCAAAACTCGAAAGCTTGTCACGTTTGTTAATCCTTCTGGATGCACGTCCTTTCCTTTTTATCGTTTTGTCAAACATCGCCAGCAATTCTAAAAAAAAAAAACATGCTTCATGATATACACGTTCAAGCATACACAGAAAGTTTGATATGCGTACAACTATGTAAGAGTGGTAGCAGTTTATCCTAAGAACATTTTATATTCGCATTTTTTACTGCTAAAAAGGCATAATCAAAAAGTTATAAATAAAAGGACAAATAGTACATCAGGTATCTAGTAATATATGGAAGCAAAAGTAATCAATCCAATTTTCATTTCGCTTACTGACAAAAAATGGCTGTACTATTTTATAATTTAATTTGGTTCTGCATCCATCAACAGCTGAATAAATTTCAAATTTTGTGCATTAGCTACATTATGCTTGCAGTACACATGAAACAAATTTTCTTTTCAGAATTTTAAGATAACTGCATACATTATTCGCATAAAATGGTATACTTATATTTACAAACGAAATTGTGTTTCAAAACAGAATAGTACGCCTAATCTAAAACAATACATAATGTTTAGTTTAAGTGGCACGTTCATATGCCACTAGTTTGTAAGACAAATAAGAAAATTGTTTTGTATGAATGGTGGTAAATTATTGGAGATTATACCAAAAGGTAACATTTGCAGCCATGATCTATCCACGACTGGATGAAGGCCTCCTCCAAGCAGTCTTGAGATGCAACAATCCATCTAGCTTCTTCACACAAACTGTGGCAAAAATCCTCTCGGGCACGTTCCATCCTTTGGCTGCATTTCCATAATTATTCTAGACCATTTTCAATCATTAAATGCTTCAAAATAGTATACTACATATAAAAAAGTGCTCATGAATACTTATGATGGCCATTATCCTAATTTCCTTGATGACCTTTGGTAAAAAGAATAGGTGAAATAATGAAGACAATTGATATGCGATAAACTTACAGGGTTCACAATATCACTTTTAGACTTTTTTTCATATTACTCCTTGTACCTTGTTATATATCTAAAATTGCCTCTTATTTTAGAGCTAAAATACTGCATGCTGTGGCAAGCGACACAGAAAGTGTGCTGTGCTGTGTTAGGAAGTAGAACACTGCAGAAGTGGGGGCATGCTCAGACAAGTTCAGTCTCTGAGAATCACCACATCCACCATCACGGCATGCGATAACTGTGGAAACATTATATTAGACACTATATGTGCTATTTAGAGGGAAAAAAGCACATAACACCACTATTTCCATTACCGGCAGAAGTCTACGTAAAATATAGCACAAAACAAAACATTTAAATGAATTAAGATAAAATAAAAGGTGATGAAAAAAAAAGTTATGACTAAAACATATTATTGTATTTCGATTTAAAGCTTTCGTGACTGCAAGGATTCATCTTCTTTGGTTCTTTCGGTAAAGTCACGTAGAATGAGAATAAAATAATAAATTGATAAAATAAAATAACGCAATAATATTCTCACGACGTTTCGGCCACAACACAAGCAGCCTTCATCAGGTGAAGGGACGAGACTGTCAGTCAGACTGTCAGTCAGACTGTCAGTCAGACTGTCAGTCAGTCTCGTCCCTTCACCTGATGAAGGCCGCTTGTGTTGTGGCCAAAACGTCGTGAGAATATTATTGTGTTATTTTATTTTATAAATTTATTATTTTATTCTCATTCTACGTGACTTTACCGAAAGAACCAAAGAAGACATATTATTGTACTTTTAATATTAATATATGGGATGGAAAATAAGTCTTCACATTTTATCAATCAAAGAGAAAATAAATTACTAAAAGACAGGGATTAAGGACTGAAGTGACCTAAACATAAACAGAAAAAAATACTAGGTTTTCATGATGGATCAATAATACTTGTAACTATACTTATGGAATGATCCATTTTTTGTTCAAATTAATACACTTAAACACAATCTAGTTCAACTGCACCATTCACAACTGACCTTCATCATCTTCATCAATTACGTGCTCTTTTTCTCCTTCATCTGTTAACAACCCTCTGCCTTTCCAGCCAGCAATGGTCTGTTCTAGTTCATCCTGCAGGCAAAGTGTGAAACGTATGATTTATCTAACATAAGAATCCTTCGCTCCATGAATTCCTGTAATTGGAAGCTTATTATCACTGATACTCTCACACATTATTTATGAGCTCTCACTTGTTAGTTTTATGTAATTTATAAAAGTGCAGTGTAGTGTAGAAATTGTATTTAAAATCATCACATTTGAGACAAATTACTGTCACGAAGCATATAAGACACACATGTCAAAATTAGTCAAATAAATTGGTTGGTGTAATCACTCCACACCAGTAAAATTTATGAAGGCAATACTGACATGTTATATATCTAACATGCCATATCAAATTTCAATAAAATTAAATCCCTTCAGCATGAATAAGTGAACACATCATTTCTACTAAAAATATCCCATAACAGAAACAAAATAAACCGGAGCACGTTTATACTACTGATTATGCATGCAAAGCTACATTTCTTTATAAAATATGTTGAAAACTTTCTGGAGTGGCAATAGAAAAAAAGAAAGCATTTTCAAAAGACTTAAAATTTTTATGACGTTCGTACCTGGAATGATGTCCGCTTTGACTGTTTGGGGCTCTTAGTATGGGCCAGCTTTGTGCTGGAAATTTCATTTTCAGGCATTCTTCACCGCAAACCAGGTAGCTTTGAAATGGATTTTAAAAGGGCATTATGTCACTCTTCTTAAGAGGTATTGCTTGGCCAACCATATTGTGTGGTTGATAATATCAATGCAATTTTATCAACATACAATGTTTACATATACTCATACAGTTCTTGAACATATATATAGTAATTTCAATAGATACATGGAAATAATAACATGAAATATTAAGGACCTGTGTTGACAGTGGCGCACAAGCCATATTTTATGGAGAATTTAATAGCAAATGCTGGCATATTACATTTTCTGAACCAAAATGTGCATTGTAGGTCAAGAAGAGCAAAGCCATTCCATGAAGTTGAATGATGAGCATTTTAAGATGACATTGTTGGTTATTCTTTAAAGACCTATGCAAATATATTACTCCTAACAATATTTGGTTGAATTCAGAATAGACTGCAGTGCCTTTCACCTTATGACTTGTATAAATATTACATATGTATGGGAAGTCACACATTCAGTTATCACGAACATTTCGCGCGGGAAAATAACTGTTCAAAAAGTAATATTCTTTCTAAATGATCACCTTGATCCATGAAATTGCTTTTAGGATTGACAATCTTAAATATAATTCGGATCACGGGTCAACCTTGATCTTTGCTACTTCAAAAAAATTGCTGAACTATTACGCCATCACGAGGTAGCAAAGTGTTCCTGCTGTACAGTCACCGCTTGTGTATGACTACTACACAAGCAGTGACTGTTGCTTCTTCTGAAAAAAAGAGCATATATAAAGTAAATGTTCCTAATGTATTCTTTAACTTTCAGACAATAACGACGTCTAATGGGAAACGAGAACATTGACAACCCTCTTTATTCCATTACTTTGTTAAATTTGTTAATGGCCGTATAAAGTTTAACCACTGTCCCCATGATTCCTTCGCTATGATGAAGTCACCATTCCGTTCATTTTTGTTCTCCTTTGTATCATCTCGTCTAGTCTACCGTCTTGTTTGCAAATGTTCTTCCGTCTCATTTAGGTATTGTCCGTACTGTCTCTCGTTTGTAATGTATTGTTCTTTCTTGTGTGGAAACTCAGCGACCTGGGCACGGTCATTGTACCCGTGGACTCTGTTCCCCAACTTTATCTTCATCATTCAACCCGTCGGGAAGTGATCTTAAGTACACGTGCATTTGAATGGTAGTTCATACAGGTTTAGGTTATGTTAGGATTTCTCAGGCAAAACATTTTTTTTGTGTGCAAACGTCCGTTGTATTTTCGGTCGAACAAAAATCCTTCCCTGATACTGAACTTAGAGCGAGGGGGGGGTGGGGGGTCGCTATTTATGTGCAACTTATATATATCTCTCCTTTCGTTGTTTATCGTCACGACTGCTTGCGAGGGCCACACGGGTGAGAGTGTGTTTACTAAAACCTGTATGTTAACGATCTGCTCGGTGCAGGGCTGACCATGTAAATGTTGCAGGGACTTAGTTAAAGGCTGCGCCCAGCAGTTCGGTAAACTTCCCACTTGTTGCGATGGAAACGCGGCTTACCCGACCGTGAGGATTCTTAAGCTTTCAGGATATTTTCCGAGGCTCATAAATTTAGAAAAGGGCAACATTGGGATGTTTTTGTTTTATTGTAAGACGTGAATAGGTTATCTCGGAAATCCAATATCAGAGAAACCACAGATTGAGTTTTCAGTTCAGCTCGCAAATGTTCACGGGACGGGTCCCATGCTGTAGCAATGGCGCTACCTTGCGGATGATTAAATGTTGTTGAAAACGACATGCAAAAATGACCTAAAAGTATTTGTACAAACTCAACAAATTCGTCAATAACACCGACTTAAAATAAAAAATATATATACATAATCGGCGACATTTGGGGAATTAGTCCTTCGCAATTAAGCAGGCGCAAACAATCATAGCACAAGCGATGCAGTACGAAGAGCAGGGCATTAATATGAATCTGTAATTATTACCTGCCTGAAATAAATATCTAATTTGCTTATGAAATATTAACCTCAAGTCTCATTCACAGGCTTAGTGGAAGTGACGGGGGTGTTGATAACGCGTGAATGTTACGTCGGCGTTCAACCGAGGTGCAGTACTTCACTGTGTATAAGCGCACACATATACAGTACAATATAAACGCGAGGCCCACTTATTAAAGGCATCGAGCAATAAAGAACTAACGTATAAAAAAATCCGCGTAAAAAGGTTTAAACGTAAACAAAACGTAAGGAACACGAACGGCTGGCTGCCACCCCCATCGCTCGTCAGAGGCCCGGCTTCAGTTAACCCCATCGGACAATCAACTCCACAATACACAACAGGCTTCGCGCGAGTTTAAAAGCACGATCCGTTTCAGTTTGTTTGTTTGTTGAACACAGCGATATAAACAGCACGCAAACACAAACCATCTATAGTCGAAACGAAGGCGCGCGGCCTACCCCCCAACGCCGCCTCAGCGCGAAGCCTTCGCCGACAACCCCAATGGCGTCTCCGTGCAGGCCCGCGGTTGCTAGGCAACCACCGCTCGCCACGTCGTCAACGGCGACCGATCTTCTAAATCTAAATCTCTACTAAATAATCTCTTCTAAATAATCTCTTCTAAATCTATACCCGCCGCTGGATGAAGCGTTAAGTATTTCGGGTCTTAATTGATTGTTCACGCTTACGGTGGCTTTCAGACAGCATACATTAATTTTTCGTCTCCCCCCCTCCTCTTTTGAGAACATAGATGGACTCGTCCTTCTAAACAAACTGTCAAATCGCTGTCCGTGGTGCTTACGGTTTTTATAAATAGTTAAACACGCCGTTTAAAAATAAATAAATACAAACCGCCACTTCTTTCAAATGTTTCTTACCGTTGGTTTTTCACACCTGATGATGATTGCTTGTGTTACGGTCGAAACGTCGTGAGAATTTTTATTGTTTTATATATATTTTATTATTTTATTGTTTTACCTTCAACGTGACTTTACCGAAAGAACCAAGAATGTGAATCACTGCAGTCACGAAAGCTTTAAATCAAAATGTAAGTATTTGACTGTTAATAATATGGGTGGGGGGATTTTTCCTGGGGTGGGTGGTTGGTTAGATCGCGTAAAAATAAAAATGTGTCGTTAAACCCGCCACCACCCGACACAGCCAGTTTAGTAATGTTTCGCCACCTAAACAGAACGGAGAGCAAATCCACAATATTCACAATCTGAGTACGACGTTTCGCCAGTGGTCCCATGGTAGAGGAGTCCGCGGTGTTCGTAACACAAGGGTAGATTCTCGCCACCAATATCATCCATAGTACAGAGGGTTTTGTGGGTTAGATCGTCACGTAAATATAGAAGTGTGTTGTTAAACCCGACACAGCCAATTTAGTCATGTTTCGTCACGTAAACAGAACGTGGCCAATTCGTTACCAGTTACAAGCACACCGGTTGTGTGTTGGAGAGAAAAGCCACGACATTTACAATCTGAGTACAACGTTTCGCCAGTAATTACAGCTGGCTTCATCAGGCGGATAGCCAGATTTGTGGAGAAATCCTCCTGTTTCATTCCTTAAATAGAGGGTGGTGGCGGGTTTAACGACACATTTACGCGATCCAACCCCCCCTCTCCCCCCCCCAAAAAAAAACACCTCTATTATGGATTTTGGTCGCGAAAGCCTACGTATTTGACTATTTTTTTACCTTACCAAATAATAATAACACTGTGTAACATTTTTTTTTGTTCCTGGGTAGTAAGTGTTATTTCCTAATTGCTTATGCCTCAAACGTACAGAAAATGTCTATTATTCTGACCAGGACAGTGATATTTAGAAATTTACCTATTTTCCAGAACATTCCAGATAGATTCAGTGCTGAGTAAACTTGGAGTAACTTCTAGAACATTCTTGAACTTTCCAGTAAAGTCACGTAGTTAGAAATAAAATATTTTATTATATTTTATTTTATTTCTAACTACGTGAAAGAACCAAACAAAGAGTATGGATTTCTGCAGTCACGAAATCTTCAAATCAAGATTGAACTTTCCACTAATATAAATAGTAGTATAAACACAGGGGCATTAAGCCCACCAGCTCAGTTTAGTTCCAGCTGCCTAAGTGGATACATATCTGCATTTTTCTTAGATGGCATCAAGAGGCTGCAAACATCCCGCATACGCATTTTGCTATGTCCGCGGCCAATTTATCAAGACAAGAGCGAAACAGTACTCCGTGGAAGCACCTGCTAAGATGTGTGAAGCCTACAAGGCATATTTCGGCATGCCTGTCATGAGCTCCCCGTACCCACTCCTCCAGAGAGAGAGCAGCCGTCTTTAGAAGAGAGCAGCAAGTCAGAGAGCGAGGAAGACGTTGTAGATCCAGATGATAATTTCAGAGGTGGAGCTGAGAAGAGAAACCCATACTACCCCAAGCAAAAAGACCTCAACGACTTGATCAGAGATCTTGGTCTCACCAAGTCCAATGCCGAGCTTTTGACGTCTAGGCTCAAGCAGCGGAACTTGTTTAATGAAAGTGTGCCAGTCGCAGATCAGAGGAAGCGTCACCGACCTTTTTGTAGCTTCTTCACCCGTCAAGATGGGCTCTGCTTCTGCCACAAATGTGACCAGTATGTTCCAGGCAATCGGAATTGCCTGCAACCAGAATGAGTGGCGCCTCTTCATTGACAGCTCATCCAGGAGCCTCAAAGCCGTGCTGTTCCATAATAGTAACAAGTACTCGTCTCTTCCCCTGGCTCACTCGGTGCACCTCGAAGAGGATTACAACAGCATCAAGACCTTGCTGGACGCCTTGAAGTATGATGAGTATGGCTGGGAGGTCATCGGAGACTTCTAAATGGTGGCATTCCTGATAGGTCTCCCAGGCGGTTTTACCAAGTTTCCCTGCTATCTTTGCCTTTGGGACAGCAGGGACACCAAGGTGCACTACCACAGGCGGGACTGGCCACAGCGGACCGAGTTCTCTGTAGGGAGATCGCTCTGATGTCTCGTGGAAGAGTGTTCTATATCCTGGGGGCTACACGGGCATGATAGCTCAACGAAGTGGCTTATCATCATCGCGTGAAAATGTATAAAAGCAGACAAATTAATTCTAGATTTGCAGCTTTCGTGACTGCAAGGATCCATACTCTTTGGTTCTATTCGGTAAAGTCACGTAGGTAAAAAATAAAACAACAAAAAATCACGACGTTTCGGCCACAACACAAGTGGCCTTCATCAGGTGAAGGGACCAGACTGTCTCGAGGACAGCGCTGTCCTCGAGACACCACGGTCCCTTCACCTGATGAAGGCCACTTGTGTTGTGGCCGAAACGTCGTGAATTTTTTATTTTTGTATACTTTTACGTGACTTTACCGAATAGAACCAAAGAGTATGGATCCTTGCAGTCACGAAAGCTTCAAATCTAAAACGTCGTTTAATACGTGTGTACACAGTCACACCCCGGTTTGCGTCGGGAATGCGTTCCTGAGAGGTGCGACGAATATCGAAACGACGTAAATCAAAGCAATTAACAGGAAGGTGGGAGGCGAAGGCTTGAGAGGCGACGCAAATCAGGTGGTGGTATTAATGAAGTGACGACGTATTTAAAAAACGACGTAAAACATGGGAGACGTACATCGGGGTATGGCTGTAGTGTATAGGTGGCATTGCGTTCACGTTGAGTCGGCGTGACCACTCCACGATTATCTGCACAATATTTAAAGAAAACGATTTGATTATGAGTCGAATCATGGACCTTACATCGTGACAGATCGAAAGTCGCGGTGGTGCGAATCATAAAACCACTAGTAATAATCCACTTGCTTGTCAGTACTTGGCTATGCATACAAAAGTATTGATTCTTTGATCTCAAATATAGCTTCATTTCCATAAAAAAAAAATGTACACCTGTTTGATACGATATGGTGGCAGGTTAAAGTGCATCATGCCATAAAGGGTATTATATAGTCATCACATATACATTTACGAGACATCCCTACCATACTGAATTGTTTGGGTAGCTTTGTGCATTCGGTTCAAAAAGTTCAAACTGCAGTGTAAAGAGAAGCAGAGAGGGTGGTGATGAAAAATACATAAAAATCTAAGAAGTGACGGACAGCCTTTCTTACATCGATACACATTGTTCTTTTAAATATTCCAATGCAGCTGGCATAATACCGACAAGGATGTGCGGTTTCCTTAGTACTTCTACATAATGTATAGGACTAATTCTGCATATTTAATATTAACGTTCTTAATACATATGGCTTTGCATATCTTGCACTGCACTTTATGCAAGCATCTGGTAAACCTTCGTCAGGGGAAACAATCGCAGTTCAATTACATTTTTGTAGCATTCACTCCCACACCATCACTGTCACCTAACACGTAGAAGGAAAAAAAACTACAGTAATTGCATTTTGAAAAATGACCAACTACATCCTGGCAGAACGAACAATATCCTTCATGTTTATTAACCACACCAACCAATAAAACTTAAAATGACAAGCCTATACTGCATCAGCGTATTAAAATAAATGGGTTTGCACCAGGTTGACATGGGCTGGGGGCTTTTGTGGAGGGCGATAGAGCAAACATTTCGTACAAAAATTAATAATTATATATGCACATGCAAATGAGCAAATTGAAATACTTTTCAGAACATTTTGTATACGTCCTTGAGCAATGTATACTGTTTAGTAAACAGTGAACAATATGGGAACAAAGGCAAAGAAGCATGGGAAAATGCGTGTTTGGGATTGCACTGACAGGAAAGGATGGATGGATTAAAGAACATTCGCAGGTTAACGAAAAGTAAGAAGGCTTGGGCAAGGCACGTTGCTGGAAGGGATGGTGACAGCTAAAGAAGTGGACACTCCGGAGAGGATTCAGATGGAGCAGTGGAATGGTCATGGCTAATTATACTGTACTGATGGAAGAAACATCTTACTTACAATGTATACTTTATTAGGAAGCCACTGGAGCTAAGCACTTTTAAGTCTCGATGGAAAACTCATTTCTTCAGAACTGCTTTTTGGATTTAGTTTGTTGTCCTTTCCTCGCACCTCTAATTTGCACTGTTGGCTTCGTACGGTGCGAAATAAGTTTAACATACTTTTACAAAGTACTTATTATTGTTTTGATAACAGACACAAACAAAAAGTAACAATATAAAGACAAAAATTCTGATTGTCTCTCCATATAAAAAATTAAAGCATTTCATACACGACCCATCAGCCCCACAGCCTTCTGAGAGTGCATGATTTCGGCAGCATTGGTTTAGTACAAGAAAACTCTGGACTGGTTTTGGCATACAGGCTCATCAGGAGTTAAATAGAAAACATATTTCCTCAGCAAATAATAATTTAAATAATTTGCATGCTATGGGATTAAGTTGTTTTGCTTTATCCCTCAAAAAGTTAATTCAGTTAAAATTGCTGCTTTGGTGAATTAGATTTAGTTATAATTCGTCAAACTCACAACTTTTACAGCAATTAATGCTTCCATAAAAGGCAATGGTCCATGCAATTACACCTAATGGCATTTTAATGTAGTTGACCCAGAGGCCTTACCCAAGTCTTCAGTGGGCATTAACCTGTATACGTACATGGTTTACATGTGGAGTGACATGGAATGGGTCACTACGTAGCATTGCGCGGGTTCCTGGCAGAGAAGGGGATCTGCAGTTGCAGCAGCCCTGTCAGCAGGTCACGTGATAAGTCAGAGAGAGGGATGTAGGGGAAAGGTGATAGAGGGGGCACGTGAGGTAAACCCGGGAACCCGTGAGTAGGTTCTAGAAGGTGGGCGTGGCTGGGGCGGAGCGAGGCCACGCTCGGAGGATAAAAGGCGACCCCGAGCAAAGGCTCGGGGCTGTTGCTTGGAGTGGAATCCCGTCGGGCTGCTGGAGTCTTCGTCACCGTCTTCACCTTCTCGGCGTTGTCAGTCAATTGTTTTCTTGGTGACTATGGTCCCAGCTGCCTTGAGATCATTGACAAGATCCTCCTGTGTAGTTCTGGGCTGATTCCTCACCGTTCTCATGATCATTGCAACTCCACGAGGTGAGATCTTGCATGGAGCCCCAGGCCGAGGGAGATTGACAGTTCTTTTGTGTTTCTTCCATTTGCGAATAATCGCACCCACTGTTGTCACCTTCTCACCAAGCTGCTTGGCAATGGTCTTGTAGCCCATTCCAGCCTTGTGTAGGTCTACAATCTTGTCCTTGACATCCTTGGAGAGCTCTTTGGTCTTGGACATGGTGGAGAGTTTAGTATCTGATTGATTGCTTCTGTGGACAGGTGTCTTTTATACAGGTAAAGCTGATATTAGGAGCACTCCCTTTAAGAGTGTGCTCCTAATCTCAGCTCATTACCTGTATAAAAGACACCTGGGAGCCGGAAATCTTTCTGATTGAGAGGGGGTCAAATACTTATTTCCCTCATTAAAATGCAAATCAATTTATAACATTTTTGACATGCGTTTTTCTGGATTTTTTGTTATTCTGTCTCTCACTGTTCAAATAAACCTACCATTAAAATTATAGACTGATCATTTCTTTGTCAGTGGGCAAACGTACAAAATCAGCAGGGGATCAAATACTTTTTTCCCTCACTGTAGAGCCATCCAATGACATTCATGTATTCTTACCAAAATCATCTAAGTGCTTACAAAAAAACATGTTCATTCATAATATCTATGACTGATGATAACCTAGAGCATGAATAAAGAGGTAGTTTTCTAAGCAGAGTAAGTTTATCACTTCAAATTTTTGCCAATTTTCCTAAGCCTCAAAAAAGATATGGTAATATTTCCACTACATCAAATAGAATAATAAATGTTTGTCTATTTGGTCAATGTTTCAACTGGACAGATGTGTAATATGAATGAGGGTCGAGTCAAAATCAAGACAAAACATCTATAAAACATACACATTCGAAGTAAAAAAAAACATTTTATATATGCAGTTTTTATATTTCAGCAAAAACACTGGCATTTGGGAGTCACATCAGTATGTATTAGTAAACACACATCTTTAATCAATGGACACTTGAAATGTGGTTTTCTTTTCATAAAATGCTGCGAAAGTACCATGTCAGTGTCATGATGATACAGAAATATACCAAATCCTGTATAACTGTTCTTTATTACTTAATGTCAAATTTCAAATTGATTGCTCAATAAAAAATGGAATTGTACTCAACACATACTAAACATTATTCATGGTGGTCTGATACAAAAGGTCGAGAGAATCCTTTATTATAACTAATATATACTCATTAGAATAGCTGAAAAGCAATTAAGCAGGCTGACAGACCAGCACCATAGCCACATTTATTTAACAAAGAATGTAATGTAATAACTGACAATATCTTCGTCCCCTCTGTCACCATGGGATTTCAGTGCCATCCCATGCGTAGAATTTGCCTGTCTGCTCAAAACCGAGTTTGTTCACTGTATTCATGATGTGCTGCACAGCTTTCTCAGGCGTGAACAGATTGTTTGGTGCGACGTTGCGGTGGTAAGCCCGAGACAGGTCCGTGTCAACTGTGCCCGGGTGGACGCTGATGCAGACCACACGTCCTTTCCCGCGGCTGAGTTCCACGCCGAGGTTACGCGTGGCCATGTTAAGAGCAGCCTTGGACAAACGGTAGCTGTACCAGCCACCCAATGCTGCATACAGAACAAATGACAAGGGTCAACGGCAGAAGAATGCAACCAGTGGTGGCACCTGTGGCTCAGGTGCGGATGTTTTGAAAGTGGGTGTGCTTGTGCGCCCCAAGATTTTAGCGCTTTGAAGGCAAGAGTTGGTGGACCATAGATTTGTGGAAACTCATAAATCCAAAGGTTGCAATGGAGCTAGGAAATGGAAGTAAAGCAATTGGTCTGTGAACATTATGTGTGGTCTTTTAAATATTATCCCCTATATATGTTTTCTCTGGGTGCTCAGGCTCTCTCCAATCATTCAAAATGAATTGGCTCAAGATCCAAATGTTGCGACCTCTGAAAAAAATCTTGAGGCTCAGCAAGAATTTTCCTTGATAAAAACATTATTTTAAATTTAGCGAAAAATATTCGCAATCGAAGTCACCATAGGTAATTACTGTACATACGAAAAATTTAATGAGCATTGCAGACGGATGGTGCATTTCCTTTTTAATCCAGTAGGTGGCAGATTTGAAGCACATACTGTATATAAAATAAGTAGTGGCCTTGATAGTGGGGTAAAAAAAATATCCACAACCATACACCCTTATACTGGAAGGCAATGGAATAGGTTGGAAAGATCCATTAAACAAATTACCTAACCATACTCCAAAATGTTTTAAGATTCAACCGACTAATAATATAGATTAATTATTATGAGCCCTAATCTATCTGCTGCTGATAAGACCTTTCCTCGCCAATGCCATCTCTCCAGGTCGAGCGATGCCACACTTTCACGCTCCTGCATGGGCTGATCTCACTTCTTCTCCGTGATGAGCATCCACTCGGACATTCCCGCTTTGGGTTTGAACTCTATGACCAGTCTCGCTCATCGGCCAGTATCCCTTCCAAAGTTACATACTACCCAAGCCCACTTACTTTTCTTGACAGTAAATGTCTTTAATTTGCATGTTCTCCAATCTATGTGTTCCTGTCTTTGTTCAATTGCTAGCATGCACCTCCCGATGCTTTCAATATGCATTTTCATCTCTTGTTCCATGTTCTGGCCATGCTTCAGATATATAAAAGCAGGGAGTACAACATTGATTAAAACTGTATTCGTTGGTATTTGGATATTTTCAAATTTAGTTTTTAAAAGTATTCCAATCTGCTCTAAGTCGTCTTATTTAATGTTTACCCTGACCTGCCTTAAATAATTCCACTATTCAGCTGTATTTTTAAGTATTGTACCTCCAACAATTTTCTTTGGTTTAGCCAACTTATCGTACTTGCCTTTTGTTTTGCTCATTTATTTCAATGTTAATCTGTGATGTATATGTAAATGAAAGGATTTTTTTAAAATACAGCTTTCTCATGTGGATGGTTGGCCTCTGGTCCAATCATGAATTTCCTAACATCTTCATAAACTTGTGTGGTAAGTTAATGGGTCTATAATAATCAAAATGTTTTGTCCCTGTTTGAATTTACGAATGATTAAGCCGTCATTCCACAATTGAGGTATTTTATTTTGTGTGTAACTGCTTGGTATATATATCCACTAATTTCGTTATAACAGCTGATCCTGCTTTTTTATATCCATATTTATTTCCTTCTCATTGAGGAGCTTTCCCTCTATTTTTTATTGTTAACGGCAGTAGTTAGTCACGGAGAACATTTGGATCAGATCCGAATTAACGGCACTGAAACTGTTGTCTCCAGAGAATGAATACTTTTTTAAAGATATGGGTATTATGCACACTCTTTTGCAAAAAAACCACCAGCATAATGTTAATGTCCAGGGCATGTACTACCAAGTGCTGTCACTAATGTACACATTGTTCATAAATAATTTAAGTGCTCTGCAAAATATCATGCCATGTCAAAATATGATAGATTGAGAAGCATATGTTCTGTGTCTCAGGCCAATGCTTACCGTTGTCTCCGATGGAACCCACTCTGGCAGAAATGTTCACAAGCACAGCATTGTGGCCCTTGCCCATCTGCTGCCCAAAGTGCCCACCCCCTTTTTGCAGGAGCCCAGCAAAATGCTTGGCCATGAGCAGGGGTCCCAATGTATTCACAGCCAGAGTCGCTGTCAGCCCCTTAATGTCAAAAAGATGAATTTACATTAATTTACAAAGTACATTTGTTTTACTTCGGGTGAAATGTCACATTCATCACATTGCCCACATGTACATCACTTAACTATGTCTGCTCTGCATGACCTCTCAAATTCAGCAATGTCTTTTAAAGCAGCTTGTCCAGCCTTCTATTTTCAACGTAAAAACCCCACGTTGAAAAACTCATCTCTCACCTACAGAGCAACCCTCGTCAGAGCAAAGTTAAGCACCACATGCTGCGCCTGCCATGCCAACCTCAGCTGTCACATCCCGCAGGCTCGTTTCTCCCCTGCCGCTTGGGTGAAGCATGGCAGCCACGTTAATGAGCAAATCCACGTGGCCGTGCTGCTGGGCAACCATCTCCGCCGCCCGTCGGATCTCATCCTCTTGAGTCACGTCCAGCCTGAGCATCTGCAGACGGCTGTGAGATGAGCTAGATGGGTGCTGAAGCGCCTGCAGTTCACGAGCACCATCAGGGTCTCGGCAGGTGGCGATCACAGTCACAACTTGAGGTTCTTCTCCCTGGGAGCCAAAGCCAGGCCGTGCGAGGAGATGGCGGCAGAAAGCCAGACCAAGGCCACGGCTCGCGCCTTGTATCAGTGCCACAGCCATCAGCTCCCGCAATGTTCAATTCCACCTGCAGGCTCAGTCAGCTCCTCGGCTGCAGAATGTATATCACGACAAGCAGTAAGTCACAATTGCCCGTGACCTCATGCAGGATTCATGATTATGAAAAAGGTCATCGATATTTATACCTTGTGATTTTAGTGTAATGTTCTTGTGATGTCTTCTGCAACGAAACCAAGTTAATCGATGAAAATGTGTTAGAGCAACAGCCATCTCTCTACTCGCCATCTGTTAATTCGCAAACCAGTAGGTAAAGGTGAAAGGTAAAAGTACATCCCTGCAATGGCTTATTTATGCCACTGCTGGCAGAAGGGCCCCCACTAGAGAATATCTGGCCTCCTCTTCCATGCTGGCCATATATTTTGAAAGAAGTGGAAGTACCCACACTTTACCCCACGACATGTGACCTGCCGATCGACTGTGTACTAATCGATACTGCTGGGTGGAGATTTAACCGGTGGCCTCTGCATTGCAAGTCCATTGTGGTAACCATTACACCATGGGCAACATCCCAGCACCGCTTTCGCGACTGTATAACCAACATGGATAAACCGGAAGGAATTGCAGAGAATGCTGGCATTTTACTCACCCCGAAAAATTATGCTGGCCAACAACTCTACATTCATGCGTAACGCTCAGAGGGATTTCCAAAGCCTGGTGTTCTACAAGGCTGAAGATGACGATGCTGACAGTAAGTCCTGTGCGTGTGCCTGTGGCTGTCAAGACCGATGCGTGAGTGGCAATCTTCCCCACAGTGTACTTGTAATTTGATGTCAGTAAATTAGTTTAGCAGCCCAAAAACAAGCACAAAGGTTGTCCGTTTATACATACACCTCACGAAAATAATAGGGATATATTTATAGGGGGAAAAAATGCAATGCCTCTACACATCTCCGAGCATTATCAAATGTGTTAATGCACTTGATAAATAGTTCAACAACTTCTCTGTAAGATAAAGCCATCACTTTCACAATATTCAATAGCATGTTCAGATCATGAAAAAAAATCAGTGGGGCATCTATCAATAGATTACCGTCATATACACTCCATTTACCATCTTACGATCAATTAGAGTAACACAGAATCCACGCAAAAAACTCGAATTTGTTGCATTCAAGTAGACGCTTACCGTACTCTCCAGATTACAAGTGCAGCATAGAACAGTGGGAAGTGTGCGTCTTATAATCCGGTTAATACGGTAACATTTGGGCACTTATCTCTTCCGTGCCCACACGCTCCACGCTTGTCACCGTGAACAGAATTTGAACTCCTCTGGCATGGCACTGAACCGCGAGGCTCTTTCGGGCAAGTTTAGAACCGCAACGAAGATTAGATTTGTCGTGGAAATACATTCAGCCTTAAATAATCCTACTGCTGGATGAAAGCCTCCCCAATCAACACAATACTGTACTGAGACATTTCGGCCTTTCTTAGTCCACCGAGTAGAAAATATTTAACCGTCCAGGTTCGATTTGTCGTGGTTCAGTTAATTGTAGCGCTTCCAGTGGCTGCATCGGTTACCACAGCCCATTGTAAACATCGTCGTGCTGCATGGTATACAGTGATAAACGAAGGCCTCTCCAACGCTGTCGGTCGGTCGTGGGGGATCGTTGACCATACTTCACCGCGCCGGTCAGTCCGGTTTAACGAAGCAAGGCCCACCCCCACCCCTCCTAAGGCCCGCTTCAGCCACCCGTGTTAGCCGTGGCCAGGCATCCAACTCGGGTTTGATGAACAAGGCGGACTTGAATTTTTTTTTATTTAAAGCTTTCGTGACTGCAGGGATTCATATTCTTGATTCTTTCGGTAAAGTCACCGCCACGTAGAAGGGAAACAATAAAATAATAAAAAAATATAAAACAATATATTTTTATTATTATACTGTTTTCCCCTTCCACGTGACTTTACCCAAAAGAGCCAAGGATATATATAAAGGCAGGACTTGCACAATTGCGACCACTGCGCTTGCTTGGGCCACTGCTGGCCCAAAAAAGGGCCCCACCACCCAACAGCCCCACGACCCAACAGCCCCACGACCCAACAGCCCCACGACCCAACAGCCCCACCACCCAACAGCCCCACGACCCAATAGCCCCACCACCCAACAGCCCCACCACCCAACAGCCCCACCACCCAACAGCCCCACGACCCAACAGCCCCACCACCCAACAGCCCCACGACCCAACAGCCCCACCACCCAACAGCCCCACCACGCAACAGCCCCACGACCCAACAGCCCCACGACCCAACAGGCCCACCACCCAACAGCCCCACGACCCAACAGCCCCACCACCCAACAGCCCCACGACCCAACAGCCCCACCACCCAACAGCCCCACCACGCAACAGCCCCACGACCCAACAGCCCCACCACCCAACAGCCCCACGACCCAACAGCCCCACCACCCAACAGCCCCACCACCCAAGAACCCCACGACCCAACAGCCCCACCACCCAACAGCCCCACCACCCAAGAGCCCCACCACCCAACAGCCCCACCACCCAACAGCCCCACTCGAGGGAGGGCCCAAAAAAAGATTCCCCGTCGACACTTTGAGCCCTTCCACGCCGGAGCCAGACGGTCCCTAATTGTACCTTCCCGTGGCAAGTTACGAGCGCGGCTTCCCAGGGGCAGGCGAATTATGATCGTAACTCGGTTGTGTAAAGCTCAAGGGGTGACGAATGCGCGCGTTACGTAAAAGTGGGGTGACGGTGACTTTGGCACGGAGCCCGCAAATGGCAAAAGCGAGGCACCCGAAAGCGGTGCAAGTGGTGAAAAGCCAGACAACGTTAGTTAACCCAAGCCCCGTGTGCCAAACCGAGCTCCCTGTGCGCGATTATACCGTCCGCCGACTACCACCGTTGTCCTTGATGGTTATTGCAGGAGGGTAAATGTCTAATGTATCCCTTCCGATGGATGTCAAGGGGTCCCCCCAAAGCTAACAAACCTTGTGTTTGGCAACCCGAGTGTTCAACCCTCCAGATTCCAGGCACGGTCGTCTGGTGGCGTTGCTTCGTCGCTTCATTGCTGGTTTCAGAAACCGCACACACTCTTCAAATACAAAAAAACACCCCCCCAAAAATATATATATAAAAGTACCGGGAAAAAAGTTATGGAAAACATCGGATTTTTGAGTTTTATTTGGTGGAGGAATTGGAAGACAAAATCCATTGTCGTTCAGCACAACCACCACCTTCACAAACCCGCACTGACCATCGTGGTGAAGTATGGTCAAATATACTCTCTGGGTCTTTCGGTCAAAGTCACGTAGATAGAAGAAGAAAATGAATATTAAATCACGACGTTTCCATTGCAACACAAGGGACCGTCCTCAGGTGAAAAAAAATATCCGGCACGGTGTGTAAGGTGTGGGCAGTGCCCACGTACTGTATCTTACACGTGCTGTATCTTACACGTACTGTATCTTACACGTACTGTATCTTACACGTACTGTATCTTACACGTACTGTATCTTACACGTGCTGTATCTTACAATACTGTATCTTACAGTACTGTATCTTACACGTACTGTATCTTACAGTACTGTATCTTACACGTGCTGTATCTTACAATACTGTATCTTACAGTACTGTATCTTACACGTGCTGTATCTTACAATACTGTATCTTACAGTACTGTATCTTACACGTGCTGTATCTTACAGTACTGTATATTTCACGTACTGTATCTTACACGTGCTGTATCTTACACGTGCTGTATCTTACAATACTGTATCTTACAGCACTGTATCTTACAGCACTGTATCTTACAGTACTGTATCTTACACGTGCTGTATCTTACAATACTGTATCTTACAGTACTGTATCTTACACGTGCTGTATCTTACACGTGCTGTATCTTACACGTACAGTATCTTACACGTGCTGTATCTTACAGTACTGTATCTTACACGGACAGTATCTCGCACGTACTGTATCTCGCACGTACAGTATCTCGCGCGTACTGTATCTCGCGCGTACAGTATCTCACGCGTACAGTATCTTACGCGTGCTGTATCTTGCACGTACAGTATCTTACACGTGCTGTATCTTACACGTACTGTATCTTACACGTACAGTATCTTACACGTACTGTATCTTACAGTACTGTATCTTACAGTACTGCATCTTACACGTGCTGTATCTTACACGCGCTGTATCTTACAGTACTGTATCTTACACGCGCTGTATCTTATAGTACTGTATCTTACAGTACTGTATCTTACACGTACTGTATCTCACACGTGCTGTATCTCACACGTGCTGTATCTTACAGTACTGTATCTTACAGTACTGTATCTTACAGTACTGTATCTCACACGTGCTGTATCTCACACGTGCTGTATCTTACACGTACAGTATCTTACACGCGCTGTATCTTACAGTACTGTATCGTACACGTACAGTATCTTGCACGTGCTGTATCTTACACGTACAGTATCTCGCACGTGCTGTATCTTACACGTACTGTATCTTACAGTACAGTATCTTACACGTGCTTATCTTACGCGTACAGTATCTTACACGCGCTGTATCTTACACGTACTGTATCTTACACGTGCTGTATCTTACACGTACTGTATCTTACACGTACTGTATCTTACACGTGCTGTATCTTACACGTACAGTATCTTACACGCGCTGTATCTTACACGTACTGTATCTTACACGTGCTGTATCTTACAGTACTGTATCTTACACGTACAGTATCTTACACGTACAGTATCTCACAGTATCTTACACGTGCAGTATCTCACACGTACAGTATCTTGCAGACAGCGGTTGCGGTTTGAGATGACAAAAAACAACAACACCAAGATCGAAATGTTTGCTCCAAAAACTACGGGAGCCCAAGAACTCCGTGGTTATTGCACTCGGGAACCCGATGCCATGTTACGATAAGATCATAAAATATTTCAACAGGCTTGACTAACACGTCTCTCAGTTCCACAGGTTGAGGGCGCACAAAAACAATCGAAAATGATTGGAACCTCCGATCTTTGCCGATTGTGCGTAATGTTCGCAAATTTAATTGTGCCAGATTTCAGCTTTCTAGTACTCCTCGAATATTTTAAATGACATCACTCGATTACAGCCTTAAAGTAATACGGCTAACAACATTGCCTAGCGGCAATCTGATATGCCGTAATTACTTCAATAACACGCACACACACATATATATATCATGTATATATATTTTTGTTTGTCCCAGCGCTATATGTCACGATGCCCGAGGCGACGCTCGAGGGGTAGAGTCGCTGGTCAAGACGCTGTGACTATGATTAAATCACCTTTGTCATATGCACCTTTATAGAGCCTGGGTAGTGTTTGAATGTGAAGCCAAACATGCATAAACACATTGTCAGCAGAGGCCAGTGGGGACTAAACAAAAACCACCACTATCCTCTTTGCTTCTTTCGGTAAAGTCACCACAACGTAGAATGAGAATAAAATAATACATTGATAAAATATAATAACACAATAATATTCTCACGACGTTTCGGCCACAACACAAGCGGCCTTCATCAGGTGAAGGGACGAGACTGTCTGGAGGACAGCGCCGAAATCACTCCAGCGCCGTATTATTGTGTTATTTTATTTTATCAATTTATTACTTTATTCTCATTCTACGTGGTGGTGACTTTACCGAAAGAACCAAAGAAGATGAATCCTTGCAGTCACGAAAGCTTTAAATCGAAACCACCACTATCGTTGCAATGTACTAAGCCCCTAACGTCTATGCCTCCCCCAAACCTTCAACACGCACTGACGGAGCGTGCTGATGTACATGTACGGCCAAACAATAATAAACCATTCCCCTGTCGTTCTATTCGGAGACTGTGGTCCAGTAGTGGTGGATTGAAACAAGGGATGTTACACGTTGCAGTGCGGTTCTGGTACATTTCTGCCCGAGCAACAATAACATTTAAAATACAACCTGATATCTAACTTACGTGCAAATGGGCGTCCTTATCTCGTGTGGCAATATCAATATACGACAATAGATTACTCTTCGCCACAACATGCTATTCGTAGCAAAAGAACAAGAGCAGGCACTCATTTGATAAAGTACCTGCAGTGCACATTACAGGAGGTCGAAATTGGATTTCAATTCAAGGTTCCTGGAGCCAAATGTGAGCATGCTATATGGTGCTGTAGTAAATGGGACTTTACATTGCAGTAAAGGAACCACGTGGGCATGCCATAAAAGTGTAATAACTCAGACAGATGGGGGTCCAAGTTATGAAACAAAAAGTTACGTTTCATAATAAAAGGTTTTTGGGTCGCGTTATTTATAAATGTGTCGTAACCCTCCACCACCCGACACGGCCAATCAGTAAAAAAAATGTCACGTTGACAAAAGACAAAATAGTTCACTGCTTTATCCCAGCGGTGTGTTGATGAGTGAATCCACAACATTTTAATTTTTGTTTAGTACGTTACGTTTATTTACAACCTAAGCACACAAAACGCGCACACCCATACCATAGCATCACACCGGCCACTACCACCATGAGCAACAACAACTACAACAACTACAACAACCATTATGTTATCACTTCCAGTCCCGTTACCCCAAAAGCTTTAGTTTACATAGCACGTTTTCTCACCACAGGCTACGATCGTTACATTTGCAAATGCTTTTTGATATTTTTCCAGACTTCACAACATCACTGGACAACATTTGAGGGTGGAATTTCCTGCCGAGGGAAGCTTTTGCTCCCGTGACTTCTGCTTCATCAATTGGCCCATTGCTGTCATCCTTCTGCAACGTCCTTGTGCTCGATCACGGTTTGCTAGGTACGGCGCGAAAGAAGTTCTACATACATACGAGCGCTCTGTGTTCGAATCGAGGTGTACCGGGTGCTCAGGCACCCCACATAACATTGTCATTTGATAAATGCACTATAAATAAAGTACAACGAGCTAGCAACAATTCCAACGCGTAATTAACCGCCAGGACAATTTAGCCAGAGCCCACAGAGATCCAGCAGTGGGTAGTTCTTGGACAATGATGATGATGACATTTAGCCAGTGATCACTGACACTGCACGTGATCGATTTACATGATGATCACTTTCACACAACTCCCAATGCGTATGGGAATATTCTACACGATCAACCATGAGGACGAAGATAGGTTATTTACATTATGTATTCATTAAGGGACCTATTTATGCTGTGGACATCACGCAACAGACGTCAGTGACATCAACGCAAGCACACCGGACACATAGTTAAGAGAGGGGCTTATACTGTTGTGTTCTTCAGCGATTCATACATTGTTGGGTAACCACAGAGCCATCCAGCAGTGGAGAGACCTTGTCATGCAATCCCAAGCCTCTTCCCAGTTTGTGAGTTGAGAGCCAGAGGTCAGATATTGTAGAACATGAGGCTGTATATCTATCCATCGTAGCCGCTTTACATCTTGCCGCAGTTAAGCCATCTCATGGAAGTGCACTTCAAAAATGTAAGAAGTAAAAGCAGCTTTTAGTAACAAGGGACACATTCATTGCAGCATTTCCTAAATTATGAATTTTTGGCAATGTAAAATGTGATATTGCTTCATTTCACGTTTATTATGTAGTCTTAAGTCAAATCGAAACTATAATTAACCATTCAGAGCTTTTTGTCATTCCACTGATGGATAGCTTCCCCATGCCATGTCAGTCATGTGTTTTTTTTTAAATACACTTCATCAGACTCGTCAGTGCTCGCTGGTGTAAAAGAGGGGGCAGAATTATTCCAGATATCGCTCGTCGCTGATGTTGACTGTGGCCAGGAATGGGGAACTCAACTCCCAAGGTTCAATGCACAGTGCTAACCACTGCACCGCTTGCTATAACACAGCCTCCCCACCCCCGTCTCCCTTTCCGATATACAGGCTAGTAAACAGCCACATTCTTAAAAGCTATGAATACTTATTTGTTTTCCACAAAGTAAACAAACACCAGTGAAAACACTTATTGATCAGGCCAGCAGAATCCAGCATGCAGAGGTGTTGTTTACCAACGCCCATCATGATCAAATCCCTCTACGCATTTGCAGCTTATCTATATATACACACCTTTGAATTGACTCGAAACTTTGTGCTGCCAATCTAAATTGTATTCAGAATGATGACAAGATTGACTTTGCATCATACAGTACCACCTCTACAGCCAATTCCCGTTTGCACAGGGAAGCTACTTGTGTACTGTACTCTCACAAATCATATCTGCAAATTAAGCAGTATGGAACCTATTTTATTCATGTCAGCACCAATGCATCTGCCATTTACACATACATCTGCAGGATCTCTATATATTCTATATCTTAGGGTGTGCATTCAATTAATTGGGGGGAGCAGAGGTGCAGAGGTTTGCATTGTGCTCTGAGCCCTCCGGTCTGACTGATTCCCAGCCATGCCTAACATCAGTGGCGAGTGATCTTTAAACCGTTCCTCCCACATTGACAAGTAGTATGGTCAAACAAACCCTCACGGCTGACACAGCATGGGAGACATTTATCCATCATTTGATTGACAAAGGGCTGCACATCTTTTTTCTATAACTAATTAATGCCACGTTAATACTTAATTGGAGGGCTTACATTTAAGCATATGCTACTTTCGCAAGTTTCACTGATAACAACTGAAACAAACATTGGGAATCAATTTGTGGTCAGCCAGAATGTGTGGCAATGATATATAACCCCAATGAATCTCATAATTTGTAGCTAGCATAGTGACTAATATATGTGGAGTGGGTTCCATGGCGACACACACACTTTAACTTGGAGGCAACACGTTTATTCTAACACCCCAACAGGGTAACTGCATAAACGATAACGACGTAGGTGGTGACCGCCACGAATAAATTAGACCACAACGAGGAACTAGATAACCGGGTCAGTCAGTGACGCACTGCCTGACCCACGAAGAGTGACGACAGATGAGCTCCGCCAGTGAAGAAAACTGTCCTCACAGATTCGTGGGAAAAAATCAGTCCAAGACACGATTAACTAACCGTAAAACCCTAACTCATAAACCCTCATTCTAAACAATTACCCCCAACCCTATGCACTAACATATATCCCTAACTGCTAAACCTTAACCTTAGATTCTGACTCTAACCAATAACCATAATCCCTAACTCTTGTCCTTTAGCCATAAACCCAATCTATTTAATATAAACCCTAAATCATAACCCTAAACCGTATCCCCTATCCCTAACCTTAGACCCAAATCCAAACCCATAATTCTAAACCATAACTCGATACAAAAACTGAGTTGGAGCCACTACATATCCCTGTTATCATGTCCAGCCCTTTCTCAATCCACTGCTGGATGTAGGCCTCCACATGCTGTGTTGGAGATGTTTTTTTTTACCATACTTCACCATGCTGGTCACTGATGTTAGCATGGCTCGAAATTCCAACTCAGGTCGCCAGGTTCATGGCGTGTTGCTCAAACCACTGCACTCCCAACCTACCATTGTCAAGAAAGTTGTCTTTTCCCTGCCATTCTCTGATTTCATCCCCAAATCAAAACAGTATAAGCACTAAACTCAGTTTAAGGCAATCTGTTATTTAGCAAACAAAATGCAATGCAATAAATGTTTTCACAGAAACAATTTAAAAACTCTGCAGGGCATTGACCGAAACGTCAGCCTATTCTATATTTGTATGATTTAAGGCAGTGCTTTTGACCAATGAGGCAAGGTTATTTTTTGAGCTTACGCATCATTTCCAACACAATACCCCATTTTTTATTATCGAAAGCACAGTTCATATATATCCTATATAATTAGATAGCATATGGTATGCCAACCTGAGAAAAAATGATGAAATAAAGAGATGGGCCAGAACAGGTTGAAGTGCTTTTGTAAAACTGAGCTCAGAAATAAAAAAGCAATTCTGTATTACCTGCTATGACATACGGATTAGTAACATTGATATTGACAACAACATTTTTACAAAAGCTGGAAAGTGCACAGATAAGCACTTGGGAAGTGAATGCTTGGACAGAGTGATACATTTAATCGTGGATCGAACACAAGTTAGAAACGTTATATTGACGATTGAGAAAAGCATGCGGGCTTGGGTAGGACACGTCGCTTAAAAAGGAACGATGGCCGGTGATCAAGACTCACGACAGAGTGGTCGCCAAAGGAGAGAACACACCAGAATACGTCCAACGTGGGTTATTGGAGCTATGAAATAAGCTCAAGTGTAAAAGGAGCAAAAGCATGAGAGTAG